GGTCCAGCTGCGCGCCGAGAAGCGGGCCTTCCGGTTCATGCAGCGCGAGTGGGAGCGGCAGGTCGACGCGCGGTCGCTGCAGGCCCAGGGCCACACCTCCGACCAGCCCATCGTGCTGGCCGACGATGACAACGATGTCGATAAGGTTGACGACAAAGCCGGCGACAAGGTCGACAAAGCCCCGCAGGCCGCCGTTGAGACGAAGCACCGGCAGGTCGAGGTCGTGGTGGTGGACGATGACGAGCCCGAGGCGGTGGCGCCGGCAGCGGTGGAGCCGCCGAAGCCGCGCAGGATCGCCAAGAGAAAGAACAAGCCGCAGCCGTCAGTCATTTCCGAGGAACAGACGCCGGCGGCGGCGAAGAAGGCCAAGCGCTCGGACAGCTCCGGTGGCGGCGGTGATGACGGTGGTGGTGGTGGCGACGGGGCGAAGGCGACGCTGCAGGGCCTTGACGTCGAGGCCGGCAGCCACAAGCTGATGGAGAAGGTGGTGGCGGTGGTGGATGAGCGCGAGCTCTTCACCATCGTCAGCGACGACGATGACGAGACGACGAACGGCGACAACGAGGAGGACGATAAGGACGACGACGACGCTGACGAGAGCGAGGGTGTGACGGCCACGCAGGATTCCCCGTGGTCTAGCCCGCCGGCACCAGTCCCGCCAGTGGTGGAAGCCGAGGAGAAGGCCGGCGAGGCGCTGCGCTCGGAACCTGCGGAAACGAAGCCGGGCAATGAAGCTGTGGTGGTGGCGCCGCCACAGAACGAAGCCGAGGCCGAGGCCGAAGGCCGAAGACTCCAGAATTGGTCGTGGGCCGAGCGATGAAGCCACGGGTGCGGCGGAATCCGCCGTGGCGCGCGTGGAGGAGGAGACGGTGCGAGACGTCACCGCGGCGCTGCCGGCCGAACGCGTAAGCGACGCCCGACCAGACCAAATGGCGCGGGCGCCGCCGAAGGAAGAGGCTGGCGGCGCAGACATGGCGAGCGAGAAGCCGGGCCATGACGAGGAGCACGAAGAAGAGGAGGAGGAAGAAGAAGAAGAGCCGGCGCAGCTGCCAAAGTGTCGCGAGTGCTGCACAACCGAAACCACCACCTGGATGAGGTACCTGTCGTGCGTGTGCGGCGGTGGTGCGTGTGTGTGCGGTTTGAGGCGTGTGCGCTGACTGTGATTGATTGGCGTTGGTTCGAGTCAGGGGTCCCGCGGGTCCCTGCACTCTTTGCGACAGCTGCGGGCACCGGTTTAAGAAGGAGGAGGACGCGCGAGAGCGCGCGCGCATCGAACGCCGGCAGGCACTCGCCGCGCGCAAGAAGAAGAGGAAGACATTGCTCGACAAGCAGTCCCCAGCAGGGACGCAAAAGAAGCGCCTCAGCCCCAAGGCGACCACTTCGGCCAACGACCAGGAAGAGGACTCGCCCGTCATCGGCAAATACGCCACCGGCGTTCGCAACGTATGCGTCGTGTTGCGTGTCGTGTCGTGTTGCGTGTCGTGTTGCGTGTCGTGTGCGTGTCGTGTCGTGTCGTGTCGTGTCGTGTCGTGTCGTGTCGTGTGTGTCGTGGTGTGTCGTGAGTGCCTAAGAATCGGTTTTCACGTGATCGCAGGAAGCGGCGGCCTCGCGCGTAAGGCGGACCAACGAAAGGCTGGGAGCGTCGATCCCCAGCTACCCGCATCCGGCTTCATTCGGACCCATCGATGGTACGAGCCAGTCCCAGAGAGAGAGGGAGAGGAAACGCACTCGCCACCGCACTCACCACCGCACTCACGCACACGCGCCAGGCGTGGACATTGGAGACTGGTTTCCCAACCGAATCATCACATCCAAGAGCGGTGTGCATCGGTACGCGGCGACCTGCATCGACGGGCTCGGGCAACTTTGCTCAACGTGTGGGGCTGTGTCGTGTGTCGTGCGTTTCGCGTCGTTTGTGCGTGTGCGTGTGCGGCAGGCCGTGGGTGTCGGGCATCCATGGGACGGCCAAGACCGGCTGCTATTCAATCGTACTCAACGGCGGCTACGAAGACGACGTCGACCACGGAACCACGTTTCTCTACACCGGCAGCGGTACGTTACACCTCTTCGTGTGCGGTGGTGTGTGAGCGTGTGCGGTGGTGCGTGTGCGTGTGTGCGATGTAACCTCATAGCGATAAGCACGCGCGCACTCTTCAGGCGGGCGAGACCTCTCGGGAAACAAGCGCACGGCCCCGCAGACCTCGGACCAGCCCCTGAACAACAACAATGCGTCGCTGGTCAAGAGCTGCGACGACCACACCCCGGTGCGCGTGGTCCGCGGCAAGCGCTCGGGCGCGTACGCCCCGACGGAGGGCTATCGCTACGACGGCCTCTACTACGTCACCCGCTACTGGCAAGAGCCGGGCCAGAGTGGGTTCAAAGTCTGGCGATTTAAGGTAACGCACACGCACACGCACACGCACACGCACACGCACACGCACACGCACACGCACACGCACACGACGCTTACATTTTGCACGCCACGGGCGCAGTTCAAATACGGAGAGGACCAGACGCCTCCGTGGGAGATGGAAGGCTACAGTGAGCACCGAGAGCGGTGGGACACCAAGCACGGCCTCACGCAGCTGTCCGACGACGAAGGCGAAGGCAAGGATGATGACTCAGATGATGACGAGGAGGAGAACGAAGAAGAAGCGCCGGACGATGGACACAGAGGAGGAAAGCGTCGGGTGAAGCTGGAGGAGGAGGAGGAGGAGAGAGACGATGGGGGACATGGGCACAAAAAGGAGGAGCGGGCAGGCCATCGAGCAAAGCGCGCCAAGGTGAAGGCGGAGACCTCCGCCAAGACGACGAAGCCTGCAATGAAGAAAAAGAAGTGGGAAGAGAGGCAGTCCAACGAGCCGGCCAATATCAAGAAGCGGAAGGTCATGGAGGCCCATTCCGCTGCAGACAAGGAGAACGCCAAGAACGGAAGCCCCGAGCGGGTGGCTTGACGCAAACAACAAAACAAGAAAGCACAGTACACAACACGCCAGAGGGTTGTCGTTCCATTGTTTGCTGTTTGCTGGTGTCGATCGTGTCAGGGTCATGAGGCAAAGAAGGGAATGAGTGGCGTTCAACAAGATTTTATGTGTGCAAGAGAAAAGGAGGACACGGATGCCGCTTGGGAGAGTCTGCACTCAGGCGAAGCAGTGGTGGTGGAAGCGGGCTCGGGGCACACGAGGAAACGCGAAGCCCGGCATCGGTGGGGTAGCGCAGAAGCTCTGGCGCGGGTGGTGAGGGCCGTGGCCGTGGCCGTGGCTGAGGTCGCGGCAGCGGCGAGGCCCATGGGCGTGGTGGTGACGCCCGGCGCCCAGGCCGTGGTGTGCCTTGGGGCAGCGGAGAGCCTGATGCGCACACTCCCTCTTGGCCATGCGGTGGAGGAGAAGCGCCTCGATCTGGCGCGATCTGTGCTCGGGGTGATGGTGCTTCTTCCACTTGTGGTCGTGGTGGCCGCAGTGCTGGGGCTCGCACGCAGCGTCGTCGATGTGATGGTGGCGATGGTGGCGCGGGTGCGGCTGGTGGTGAGGATGGTGAGAGTGCAGCTGGTGGACCTCGTGGTGAGGACCGTGGCGGTAGTGATGGCCCACGAGGTGGTGCGGTCCGGGCTTGGGCTCGCACTCGGCGTCGTCGATGTGGTGGCGGCGATGGTGGCTTTGGTGAGGCTGGTGGTGAGGACGGTGGGGACCGTGGTGGGGACCGAAGTAGTGCCGGTGGGGGCCGTGGTGGCCTCCAAAGTGGCGGTGCGGGCTGTGGTGGCTGGGGAAGAAGCCCTGAGGCAGCAGCTCATCAGTAGCGCGAGCTGCCTTCCTCTGGCGCCACAGGCGGGCAGCCTCCTCCGCGAGGTCTACGTTGCCGTTCCACTTGGCCACGAGCTTCCTGCACCTCTTCTCGGGTACATCGAAGCCCTCTTGGTCGAGTCTCTTCTTCAGCTCCTGCGCGGCCTCTTCGTGTTTGGCTGTGTCGTCGTCGTCGGCGTAGGCCTTCTTGTCCGCACAGTTGGCCGATTCCTCCGCGTTCTTGGTGGCCAGGAACAGATGTAGGCTCTTGTCCTGGAAGGAGTTGAGGGCGTAGCGCAGCTCCTCATCGGACGAGACGCACACGCGGTCCTGCTCGTCGTCAATGTAGCGCAGGTCGAGCTGGTGGCGCTCACTGAGGCCGAAGGACTTCCTCACCTGGCGCTCGAGCTCGGCGAAGCTTGCGCTGGCGGTGACCACCGTGCGTGTATCGCTGGCTTGGGTGACCTTAACGTAGATGGGGAGGTCGGTGGTGGTGGTGGTGCTAGATTGCATGTTGGCCGCTATGTTGGAGGTGCTGTATATGTAGTCTTGTGGGCAGTGCGAGTTGGAATAGACGGTCTGGACCGGCCAATTTTATACCCGGGCTTGGCCGTCGCTTCCCTGAACTCTCAGGTTGGACTGTCGCCCGAAAGTTCTTGTTTGCGGGCCAAATCAGAGTACATCCCGGCAATTCGGTCCCTTCAGTTTTCGCCGTAGCCCATCCTTTCCCCCAAATTTCGCCATTAAGTCTTTCTTGAATGTGCCGCAATTTGTCCGCAGAAAATAATTTTATTTCTTTTTTCCTTCGAAAAAGACTTCGCGCGCTTTCCGCTTACTCACTGTGCGCGGGATAAGCAGCAAGCGTGCTTTACTGTGGTTTGGGTTTGGGTTTGAGTTTGAGTTTGGCGGCGAGCGGGCGTGGCAGCCACTCGCCCGGCTGGAGGCCGGAGGCGAGGGGCAGGTTGGCCCTCCGCGTGGCGATGCAGTAGTACAGCACGCCGTAGCTGCAGCCAAGCATCACCGCATACGTGCTCCACGCGCTCGAATTGAGCAGCAAACACAGCTGCGACAGCACCACGACGCTCTGGGCGAGGATGACGATGGTGTGCACCCGCTCCGGTCGACCGAAAAGCACCTGCGCCACACAACAAATAAAATTCATTATTATAATGATGATTTGATTAATAATAATTATCACGTACGTAGATGAGCCAGGGGAGGTAGAGGCCCGGTTGCGCCGAGTTAAGCGCAGCGATGGCGACGTAGTGCTTCCCACGATGCCGCACCACCACGCCCCGCTCGTAGGGACCGGCCTCTCGAGACCACGTGCCTACTCTCTCGTCTGGACATGACCATGGTGACGTCAGCACACCGACACGGGAGACAGCGATATATTTTAAAGTAAATAAATAAATAAAAAGTGAAGCAAGAAGGCAAGAATGGTGGCGCACCATCTCGTGTGCTCTTGCTGTGGGGTTTAGACGTGGACTCGTCGCTATCTGACTCGGCATGTCCGTTACCCTCCGACTCCTCTTCACTGCGCACGACAATGCGTTTGGGGGGGGAGGTGAGTTGAGGGCAGTGGTGGTGATTGGGGGGGTGTAGAACAAACCTCTCGTCCGAGATTGGAGAGGCTCGTCGAGTCGCGCCGCAGATCCGCCAGCACCCGAGCATTTGTGAATGTAGGTACAACTCGTGAAATGACGTGCACAGCAGATGCGCGAACAGCTGGCGAGAGTACACAGAACGCGTGATTGTGAGAGATTGCGAGTTACCGTGCGTGAGTCACACACATACACACCTCGCCCGAGAGATGATGGGTGAGTGGACAAAGAATGTGCGCGTACCATGACAAACGAGTTGAGGGTGATGTACAGCACGATTATCGCACAGCGAACAGAGTCAAAGTACAAATAGTCATGCTGCACACAGCACATGTGTTAGCCAACGCTCAATCGCAATAGGAGCACGCACGCACGCACGCACGCACGCACGCACACGTGTAGCAGACTGGGCACCTGTAGGAATTTGAGAGGGAGGAAGCCAGCAAAGTAGCCGCACTCGAGCGAGGAATAGGCCACCCCTTTCAGTCGGTCGACGAACCACTCCGTGGCTTCTTCCGCATCCCTGCGGCCGATTGGAGTGAAGGGCGAACCAACCGCGTCAGCAGCATATCATTGGCCCCACCACCGGCGGTGTACGATGACTGGGCGGTCGCGGTGGACGACGAGTTCGGTGAGTGGAGGTTCGAACCTTCCGTAGTAGCAGCTGTGCTTCGACGACTTGCCTTCGTGCTTCTTCTTTTTCGTTCCTCTCCACGCGAGCCCGTAGCACGCTACGTACAACACAAACCTAATCATGGACCCGGGATAGTTGAGTTGGTTGGCGTTCGTCCAAGTCACACACACACCACACACACACACACACACACACACACACACACGGGTGTGGAGAGGGACGCACGGGTAGACGAGGAAGAGGAAGTTCTTGAAGGGATGCTTGAGGAAGAGCTGGAAGAAGAGGTACACAGAATTGGACACGATGACGGCGATGATGATGAGGTTGAGGTAGATCTGCGGCGACGACAGCCGCGACGGGCTGTGCCAGCGGACCTGCTTCCAGTAGCCCAACAGCACGCGCTGTAGAAAAAGAGGCCGCATGAGCTTGTCTTTCAAAGCGTAGGTAGCGAGAGCAATAGGAGGAGGAGGTGAACGGGTGTTGTTCGTACGAACCTTGAGCAAGACGATGACCGTCAGGAAGAGCAGGTAGAAGTTGTAGTTGTAGAAATTCTGGAGGTGTGTGGTGGCGGGTGGTATTTGAGTGAGCGTAGGTTACAGAGAAAGGGTGAGAGAAGGATCCGGACGAGATGAGATCATCATAAAAAGAGAGGGTTTCGAGGAATGAACAATGAATGGACACCACGAAATGGGAGGATGGAAGGCCTGCCACCCTGGTGCGGCGATTGGTGATGACGAAGGGGAGATGTACCGTCCGGTAGATGTTGAAATTCTGAAGGACGGTGTGGAGGAAAAGGTAAAGGAAGAGCATGAGCTCGAAGTGGATGCTGGCCTGCCCAACGGGAGCGTGTAGCTGTTCGATCTTCCGCAGCATCTCGTCGAGATCGTACACGGATGGCCGGGCAACAGACGAAAATGGGGAGTAGAACTGCGAGATCGTCCCGCTGTCGTGCATCGCTGCACGCTTAGATGCGCTCGCTGTCGTAATTGGCGCCTGCTTCGAAGATGCGCCTCCATTAGAGCTTCCGTTCGAGGAATGAGGTGTTTTCTTGTCCCCGCCCCCTGACTTGGCGGATCCCTTGCCGTGGCGCCCTCCGCGCCTCATCTTAACGCTTGCAATTTCCGCCCAACACCCCGATGAGGCCTTCTCCAAGTTCGAGCCTCTTCGCGTCGGCCAGTGGATTCTTTCTTCTCCTACCCTCAGATTGAATGCGCCCCGCCTCTGCTCGGCACAAGAGGCACGTGCTTCACATTCCATTCCGTTATCTGAAAAGGAAAATAAATATAAATATAAAGGAAAACAATTTCTTTTATCCTGCCCATCTAATTTGGTTTTCTTTTGCTTTTCACTTCTAAGAAGTTTTTGACAGCCTCACTTCTCGGCGCCAAGCAAGGCGCTCATTCGAAGCACACATGATGGGAGATTTTGGCATCAAGAAGCGCTACATCGTAAAGGTGAAGGACCCTGCACATATAAAGAAGAAGATTCATCCTGAAGAGCTGTGCATCAATCGAAAGACCGGTACATGTTGCACTCGGCCCACAAAAGAGTTTTGTTTCATGCATCCTGATATTGCTTGTGGGCAGGATGCTTGGACGTGGCGCCCGAGTTCTTCTCGAAGGTGTGGGACGAGCACCAGACCGATGACACGTGGAACGCGTGGGTGTGCATAGAAGACGACGGTAAGGCCAAAGTGGTGGGCTTCATCGTGCTCCAGGTCTTCGTGCACGACTCCACTTACTTTGCCTGGTGCGCCTACTTCCCAGCAGTCCCAGCTTCAATGAGGTCTTCAATGCTCGTCTTCTTCGAGCTGACATCTTTGGCTGCTGGCCAAACACAGGGGCCCACCGCTCAACAAGCGCGCAGCCAAGCCCGACCCAGTGACCGGCGCCATCAGCAACGTCGGTGAGATCAGCTGCTTCTGCGCCCAGGGCTGCGGCGCACTCCTGCTCGACGAGGCCCTGTCGTGGGCCGCCAACAACACCAACTACCACTACGTCGTGCTCAACTCGACCGAAGGCGCTGCCAACTGGTATCGAAGCCACGTACGTCGCCCGCCAGCCTCTTGTATGCTGTCGCTGCTGATGATATGATTCGCCTGCGGTGCAGGGTTTTGAGGACATCAAGGCCTACAGGCTGCCGCCGCCGTTCAGTCAGTACGCACACGCGCGCCACTACCGGGAGCACCTCTACCGCCACCGGCTGGGCGACGACATGATCGACATCACCGTGGACGAGCCGTCGCGCATGCTCGTCGTCGACCTCGACCAGTTCAAGAGCAAGCGTCAGGGCGAGGAGAGTGAGAGGGAAGACGACGACGACGACAACGACCCCACGAGCCACAACTACAAGCTACGAACCCTCACCATCACCCGGTAGTGGTGGTGGTTTTCTTTTTGTACAGATTGTGTTTCTAAGGCAAGGAGAAAGCTTGAGGCTTGTTTTCCTCCACAAAAAGCACCACCTCTCTGCATCATGTCGACTCCCAAACTGGCCCGAAGAAGAACACACACGATCAGAGGTTGGCTTTAGTCTCGCCGGCGGCCAGCGGGAGGAGCTCGCCGCGGATGAGAGGGCGGATGTGTTCATAGCCGGGCGCGACAGGCGACTGGTTGAGCGGCTCGCGCTGCACAAACTCGTACAGCGCCTCGTACACACGACCGTCTGGGCACGTGCGTGCGTATGTGTGTGTGTGTGTGTGTGTGTGCGGATCGTCAGTGAGCGCGCTGACAAAGATCGCTGGGTTATTGTGCGAGGCTTACCGTAGCGGCCGAGGCAGCTGTTGAGGGAGTGGTCGGAGAAGTTGAACGCGTCCACGAGCGCAACGGCGTCGGGGCGGAGGGCCACCAGCAGCCCGCGCACGGCCTGGCGCACCATGACCGCCTGCTCCGATGACAGGTAGCCGCCCTCAAGGAAGAACCTCGTCTCCTGCTCGACCTGGTACAGCGCTGCACCATCGCTCACACCACCACCGTCAACAAAGAGCGAAGAAGAACAACGAAAAGAGAGGAAAAAGCGAAATCACAAAGAGTGTGGGCTCACCAAAGAGGTCGCAGAGGCGCTTGAGTACGGGGATAGAGCTGTGGGTGCCGCGGCTTGACTTCACTCTCGAGCGTGGCGCTGAAGCTGAAGACGATGGTGAAGAGACAGTGCATCTTCGACAGATGCGCGATCTCCACCAGGCTGTTGTTCCACGCCTCGTGCGGCGCCGTGCCGCTCTAGCAAGAGTGACGATGAAGGTGAGCCACCACTACTCACACGCCCAAAAGACGAAGAAGAAGACGAAGAAGAAGACGAACGAAGAACAAAGAACGAAGAACGAAGAACGAAGAACGAGCAACAGACCTGAACTTGGTGAAGCATGCCGAGGGAGAGTTCGTGAAGCAGCCTGGCGCACACGTGCATGTAGGCATGCAACTGCCGTTGCGGACACAGGAAGTCTTCCGCGCTCTTGGCCGAACACTTGGCTGCGGATCGCAAAACGAGGATGAATTTTTAAATCAAAAGAAAAGGGCAGCAGTGGCAAAGGCTTGGGGGTGGGGGGTACCCTGCAGGAGGTCGTCTACATTCTCCAGATACTTGATCTTGGGCTCGGCAGAAGAGGCGGCGGAACCGCGGCGCAGCTTCTCGTAGGCCTTCAGCAGGTAGCGGCCGGTCTGCTGGGTCAGCAAAAAGTTCTCGCCCTCGGCGGTCAGCACCCCGACGTAGTCGGCAAAGAGGCTGCCGAGACCGCTCGAATGCGTGTAGCCATGCCCGCCGCACGCACGGCGACACACCTCTGGTTCACGCCATGGTTTAAATTCATGTCGACTAGTACCAATCCAGGGTCCAGGCGGGTTGGTGTGGTGTACCAATGCCCTCGGCCGTGATGGTCGTGGTGAGGCTCTTCAGGCCCGAGCTGGTGGCATGGACCTCGGGCAGAGACGACAGGTTACCGCTGGTGATTCCCTACGCGAGCACCACCACCACCACCACCGTTAGCGCGCCATCGGTGGCGAACAGCGCCGGGAGTCGGAAATGGTTTACCTGTGCGAGCTCGTCGAACAGCTTGCGCATGTAGCGCCCGGTGAACTTGAGCGCATAGGCCGCCGCCAGGTACGGGAACACGCGGTACTGCTGCATGCGGTAATCGATCACCTACGCGTGCACGCGCACACAAAACCAGACGCACGCCCGCAGCAGTGATTCGAGTTGAGCTGCAGCGCCCATGAAAACCTATGGGTCGCATAAGTGGAATACCTGTTTCTCTGGCTCGCCCTTGCCCGGAGCAAACTGGCACCGAACAGCGGAATAGCGAATAGCGATCGTGACCGCCTTGGAGAGAGTCCTACAGGTGGAGGGGACCAGAATGCGATGCGTGAGATTAGCTTAGCGCCGCGCTGTGTTGTGTGTGTGTGTGTGTGTGTTGTGTGTGTGTGTGTTGTGTGTGTTTGCTACCTTGAGGCCTCCTCGACCAGCGAGGCGCGAATGTAGAGCATGCCAAAGTAGGCGATCTTATCGTGAGCCGGCTTGCTGTAGCGTCCCTCTCTGTCCACCTGCATCAGCAAAACCTCTGTCAGAGAGCACCAACCGGCCGGCCAACAAAACCTTGGCTGGAGGCTGATGCGCGCACCTTGGCGAAGCCCATGAGCATGTGATCGCGCGGAACGCGGACGTGGTCGAGACGGAGGTATCCGTTGTCGTTCGAGTCCGTCCCCAGCTTGGGTCCGATGTCGCCCACGGTCACGCCCGGCAGGGGCATGTGATTCTCCAGCGAACGGATCGGCACAATAAACGCGTGTACGCCGACCCTATGACACACACACCACACGCGATAAGCATGAACGTGCGTGCGTGCGCGCGTGCGGTAAAGTGAAGAGCCGAGTGCGAGGGTTTACCTCTTGCCGTGAATGATGAGCTGTGCCATGGCGACGACATGCGTCGCCGTCTTGCCCATGCAACCTGGCCACCACTTGGTCGCTGTGCGACCGACCAAGGAAGAGTAAAAATTCAGCGTGTTGCGTGTGTGTGTGGCCCAGATCAACACTTGAAGAAGCGGAGTGGGCCGGAACCAGTCAGGGTCGGGGTGTGAAGCTCAAACTCGTCGGTCTCAGGCACGAACGTGGCCGTCGTCTCCAGTCCCTGTACATTCGATCCGTGACCTGCCCAGAGAGAGAGAGAGAGAAAGTGTAAGACCAGAAAATTCTGAAGTTCACGAGGCACACGCCAGACGAGTAGTGGGACATACCCAGCTCGGTCTGGGCATAGGCACCGATGATCCGCTACACAACGAAAGAGACAAGAGAGGGTCAATTGGCCACACCAAAGGTGGTGCAAAGATGAAGATGAATCTCGCGTGCGCGTACGTATTGCTCGGCGAGGGGCAACCACTTCTGCGCCTGCTCGGGCGAGGCCTGGCTGCGAATGAACGGAACGAAGGCGATCTCGTGGAGCAGCGTCGGGAGGAACTCGGTCAGCGCCTCCTCCGTCAGCAGCCGCATGTCTGCCGACACATGAATACGACCGTGGTGCAGACACGTTCACACGTCGTGTGTCAGTACAGCAACACCACAGGCTCCGCGTTGGCCCAGAACGTGGAGGGAAGCACCGGTCTGGTTGAGGCCGAGCTTGGTCTTGTAGAGGTGGAGGTGCTTGACGAGGCCCAACGCGTGCTGGTAGCGCTCCGTACGGTTGCGGAAGTGCTGGTCGCGATTGTCGAACTCACGGTCCTTAGCCACCAGAGCTCGAAAGTTCTCCTGCAACCATTAAAAAAAAATAACATCATTCATTATTGAACATGTTTTATTAATAAAAAGAACAATAAAGCAATAATCGATTTTAATACTTGTTATTAAAATAATATTAAATAAGGGAGGGGCGTACTCGTCGTGGGGTGGCAGGGTCGAGGAGGAGAGTAAGGTCTCGCACGGGGAATGACGCCCCCTTACGTTCGGCTGCCAGCAGCCCAGCTCCCGAACGCACCACTTGCCCTGCTTCCATCTTTTTGATCTAAAAAGTCAAAGAAAAATGATTTTTCTTTTTCCCGGCTACATAGTTGACATTCCATGTTAATAGCATCTCCACTTTTTCTTTGTCTTCTTCACTCCCCCCTCCTTCATCTTTCCCTCTCCTTCTTTTGGCTCTTATTCTTCGGTCGTTTGGTTCTTCGGTTGTACTTTGGGCACCATCCACACTTCCAGTTTGATTTAATCTGTAAAAAAACAGATTCGTGTGGAGCCACAAGCAAATGAAGATGAGTGGGAGGGGGGCTGCCACCGGCTTGCCGCTCCTTCTACTCCTTATGGCCACGTGCAGCGTCGTCCTCGCCTGGTCCGACAGTACGCTCGCCCTCCACTGTTATGATTGATTTATTTACAATACCTTAATTATTTCTCCATCATTATCGGCTGGGAGGTGCGGTGGTGCATGTGCGTGTGCGGTGGTGCGTGTTGCACGCGGAGCTTTCCTACTAACGTCGCTGTGTCGTGTGCGACGCAACCATTTCGCCACGCAGTGCCATTTAAACGTCAGCCGCCAGACTGCGGCCAATTTGGCAACTGCACGACCTGCACGGGCAAGGGCGGCTGCGGCTGGTGTCTGCAGCCCACGGGCAACAGCCTTCTCAACGGCTCCTGCGTGCCCGGCGAAGACTCCGGACCCACCAACTTCCTCACCTGCAGCCGATGGTTCTACCAAGACTGTCACAGTACACTATTTGACCCACGACACGCACCACCGCACACACGCACACGCACACGCACACGCACACGCACCCGCACACGCACGCACGCACGCACCCGCACACGCACGCACGCACGCACGCACGCACGCACGCACGCACGCACGCACGCACGCACGCACAGCGCAGTACCTTACCCGCACTTGGCCTCGTCTGGGCGTGCGACACAGATTTGACTGAGTGCGAGGCGGCTACATGTGGCGACTGCGCCGATCTGAGCGGCTGCGGGTGGTGTGCGAGCTCCAAGTTTTGTTTGCCGGGCAACAGCACCGGCCCGAACGAAGTGCGCACACGCGACACACGACACACAACGCACCGCACACAGCACCGCGCGCACCGCACACACAAGACGCAACTAAACCGTAACCGTCGCGCGGTGTGTAGGATCACCTGGCGGTGTGCGCCAAGCCGTACTGGATCTGGGGCAAGGCCAACTGTCCGCTGGAGCCCACGGTCACGCCGTCCCAGTCGCCCTCCCACTCGCCCTCGGCGTCGGCGTCGCCCTCCATCAGCCCATCGGCCTCCGCCTCGCCGTCGGCGTCGCCCTCCAGCTCGCCGTCGGCCACGCCGTCGCCGTCGGCCAGCCCCGACCTGTGCCCCACACTGGGGACCAACTGCACCACGTGCGTGGCCGGCGCTCAGTGCCTGTGGTGCCCCACATCCAAGGCCTGCTTTAACTCCACCCGCTCGCCCGGCCAATGCCAGGGCGAGGCCACCAACGAATGCTACGGTAGCCCAGCCTGCCGTACCACCTTCTACAAGAGCTCTTGTACTCAATCACTCGCTTGTGTGCGTGTGCGTGTGCGTGTGCGTGTGCGTGTGCGTGTGCGTGTGCGTGTGCGTGTGCGTGTGCGTGTGCGTGTGCGTGCGCGTGTGTGCAGATGAGTACTGCGCCAACTTCACGAAATGCGCGGACTGTACCAAGCAGACGGTGTGCGGGTGGTGCAACTACACCAAGTGCGTGGCGGGCTCTCACCTCCGGCCCGACCGCGGCTCCTGCCTCGCCTACCAGTACGGCAGCTGCGCAGCGAGTAAGTGCTCCCGCCTTTCGCTTTATTATATATTATTATTTTATAATTATTAAAACGCCACAGTCCCGTGCCCACAGTTCGCCGACTGCGCGGCGTGCACGCAGCCGGGCAACACGCACTGCGCGTGGTGCGACCCCAGCCTGAAGTGCCTGCCCATCGCCAACCCGCCGCCCAAGCCCGGCGATGCTGAGTGTCCGTCCAACTGGTTCTACGGCGAGTGTCCTGGTACGTTGACCGAACCGCACGCACGCACGCACGCACGCACGCACGCACGCACGCACGCACGCACGCACGCACGCACGCACGCGCAGTGGGTGTTGAGGGCAATGATGAGCAAATACTTGCAGATTCATTTACGTGATGGAACCACAAAACTTCTCTGTATTCTGATGCCTCGAGGAATATATCGAGAGCGCATTAGCACTGCGGCAGTGCGTCACCGCCCGCTTACTCGATTCTCTCTCTTTCTCGCCGCAGCGCCGGTGGACTGCGGAATGCACCGATTTCAACTCCCACTGCTTCTGGTGCACCGAGAGCGGAATGGGCTCCTGCTCCTCATATTCCCGAGGCGGTACCTCTACTCCCTTCTACTTTCTCTGCGGTGTGTGCGGTGTGTGCGGTGTGTGCGGTGTGTGCGGTGTGTGCGGTGTGTGCGGTGTGTGCGGTGTGTGCGGTGTGTGCGGTGTGTGCGGTGGTGTGTGCTGAACCAAAAATTGGCAGGTGCTGTGTGCATGCGCGACCCGAGCAAGTGTCATCTGCCGCCGCACAAGCCCAGCGGGGGCGACGACAGCCTTGGCGGCGGCGCCATCGCCGGCATCGTCATCGGAAGCGTGTGCGCGGCGGGCATCATCCCCGCCGCCGGCTTCCTCTGGTACCGATTCTACTACAGCCGACGGCACTACTACGCCACCTTGGCCTGATCGGCTCACAACCGTCATCATCGACGCCAGCATCACCAACACCACCATCAACGACCGCTAGAGGACTTACCGACCGACCACTGGCAGACAACAACGCAACTCTACACTATTATTATTTTTCCCTTTATTTTCTGTTGTTGCACACGACAGAGGCAAACGTGGAAAGAAATATAAAGAAAGAAAAGAAAAGGGAAGATCAGGCAAAGGTACGCTTGAGGTCGCCCACCTCGGCGGTGTCGATGAGGGCGATCACGGCGGAGGCGAGACCCTTGCCGCAGGTCACCAGCTGGCCCTCGGTCGTGCTGTCGACGCCCTCCGACGCCGTCTTCACCGCGCTCAAGATCTTCAGCTGAATGCCTGCACACGACACACACGACACACACGACACACGACACACATGACACACACGACACACGACACCGCACACGCATAGTTAGTGGAATGTGAGACTATGTGAGATAGGAATGTGTGGCCTCTACCAAAGTTGCGGGTGGCGTGGGCCGAGGAACGGAGCTGATCGATGATCTTGGGGTCGCGGCACGTCTTGCACATCTCCTCCGTGTGCTTGCCGATCTCCACCGACATGTCCGAAATCGCCCTAAGCCAGCGCGCACACAGAGAGACGGGAGCAAGTCAGACACAACACACGCGACCGCACACGCTACCGCACACGCCGCACGCACGGAAGGCACGTACTTTGTGGCGCGGATGATTTCCTTCTTGTCGCCGCGTTGGGCGGCCTGCGAGAGTTTGGCCATCTCGAGGCCGATGCGGCGCGAGGCGTTCATGATGCGGCCCTTGGGCGTGGAGTCGTCGTAGGCCGAGCGGCCGACCAGGGCCGCGTCGATGGCGGCCGCCGCGCCGGCCACGGACGTCACCTTCGACATGTCGGCCCTGGCCCGCGGCTGCTCCTTGGCCGCCACCCGCTTGCCCGCATCGACCAGCCTGGGCCACCCAACAATGGATGACGTCAGCACAGAAATGGACCACAGTCAGCCACGCAGCTGACATCAGCCTGGCGCGTGCGAGGGCGGCGTACGCGGCGTTGGCCTGCTGGGCGGTCTTGACGTGCTTGAGGGCCTCGCTCTTCTTGGCGGAGTCAGTGGGCGCCGCCGCCGCGGTGCGCAGGGAGGCCATGAGCGCCGGCTTGGTCGTCTCCAGGCGCTTGGCCTCGGCAACCAGTATCTCCTGCACCTGTTGTCGCACGCACCGCACGCGCACAAAAACCCACAGAAATCAGCGCACGCAACGCAACGCGACGCACGAGTCGAGTGGGAGGACCTCGGGGTGTTCGGTGTTCCTGTGGGCCAGCTTGGCGGTGGCCACCTGCAGGTCGATTCGCCTCTCGATGCTCGGGATCAGGCCGCTGACGGCCGAACCGTTGCCTGCGGCGCACCCCGACGACATGTAAGAACCAGAAGAACGAAAAGCGATTGAAGAACGAAAGGCGACAAAAGAACGAAGCGAGTACCCGAGTTGATGGCACGGGTGACAGCGTCGAGATCGGCCTGGAGCGAAGCGCCGTTGGCCACCAGCTTATCCTCGGGCGGCGAAGCAACCGCCGCCGCCAGGCCTGATAGGCAAATTAATTAATTAAATAAACATATTTCGTTTAATATATATAAAAGTGAAATATAAAAAAGAATAAGAAATCAGAATAAAAGAGAGAGTACCCTTCGAGGCCTTCTTGATGTCGGCGAGGAGCTGCTCGATGGCCTGGTGCAGGGCGGGGTCGTTGGGGGTGCGCAGCAATTGGGCGGTGAGCGTGCGGAGCTGCTGCAGCTGCTCCTCGGCCTTCTTGATCGCCGTCAGCAGCTTGTTCCTCTGCTCTGCATCCTTGCACCTGCCAGGTTTCATCCTGCGTCAGCCCTGCGTGTGCGGTGTGTGCGTGTGCAGTGTGCGAGTGTGTGTGCGGTGATTACCGGTCGGCAGCGGCCTTGGCCAAGAGGATCTGCTGCGCAAAGTCGTCGGCGATGGCGCTCAGTTCTTCGTACGAGGCACCACTGACTTGGCCCAAGCTGTCAATCCTTCGCACCAGGTCCTGCTCGCACATCCACACATGATCACCACCACCACCGGCAAGTCAGTCATTTTCAAGCGTTGGGTGTCGTGTGTGTCGTGTGTCGTGTGTCGTGTGTCCTGTGGCCGCCGCGTGTGTCGTGCGGTCTGCCACGTACGTCAGCAGACTGCTGGATCCGGTCTTCAGCGTCGGCGGGAGACACGAGCGTGGCGAGGATGAGATCGTTGAGCTTTTGAATTTCCTCCAACGAGCCACTGAGCTGATTGCGCGCCTGCACATCCCCCAAGATACGCCGTGAGAAGTTGAGCCGTTGTGTGTGTGAGTGTGTGTGTGTGAGTGTGTGTGTGTGTGTGTGTGTCGGTGGGCGCGTACGGTCGCGTTGCCACCGGCAGCGGACGCGACGTGGGGAGTTGCCAAGCCGCCGGTGGCTTGCGTGAGCTTGGCGCCAGAATCCAGCAGTGCACCGCTAAACGCGGTGTTTGGCTTCTTGTCCGCCGCGAGCTTGGCCAGCAACGCCTAGTGTGTCGTGTGTGTGTCAGCCTTGATTCACGATGCGTGAGTGGAATGTTTGGAAGAATGTAACCTGCTTATGAAGGGCCTTCTGGAGAACGGCAGCGGCGGCGGTGGCATCTTCGGTGCGGCCGGCGCGCACGGCTTCGTCGACAGACCGCACGAGCCCATCGATGCGCGCGGCATTGGCGATCATGAGGGCCTCCTCGGACTTGGCCATCGCGGCGCCCACAAGCTGCGCTCCGGCGGCCGACAGTCCGGCCATCCCGGCCGTCACCTTGGCCTGCGCGGCACGATCTCCCGCAACCGCAGCTACGATTGTTTTCACGTGTGAGAACCATCACTGACACCACCGCACACGCACACGCACCAGCGCACACACACACGCACGGCACATGAGCGTACCGGGCACGTTCTCCTTGATGGCGTTGAAGGCGGCCGCCATCTGGCTGCATGCGCCCAGCACAGCTTGCTTCCGGGCCGGGTCGGTGATGTTGGCCGATATGGCCTTGGCGATCATCATGTTCTTCTTGAGTGATTCGAGCACGTCGGCCAGCGCAGCCTCCGCCGCGGCGCTGATGGCAGAGAGGTCGTCACTCATTAAGTAAAAGGGAGGGAAAAAGTAGAAATGTAGCTCGGGTACCTGTCCCTGTTGGCGATGGCCAAGGCGAGTGCGTCCAGATTGCGCGCCATCTCGGCGTTGGCCTCCAGCAACTGCTGCTCGGGGCTGCGCGCACCACACAAGCCCACAGGCCACACACGCGGTAAATAGCAGGAGAAATGCAACAGAACTGAAAGGGCGCGGGATGGAACCTGAGGGTGATGGCAGTGCCCTCGGCGCAGGCCGACTGAAGCGAGCGCACGCCGTCGGCGAAGGCCTTCTTGGCCGCCGGGTCGTTGGGGTTGGTGATCACCATCTTGGTCGAGTTGACGAGCTCCTGCATCGCCCTCGCAATCCTGCAAAACCCAATGGAGACCGGTTAGTGGGCGATTGCTTGAACGAAGAAAATCGACGAACAAAGGACGAAGAACGAAGAGCAAAGAGCGAAGAAACGCACCTGGCGGCGGCGTCGTTCATGCGATTGGCGGCCTCCGGATCGCGGGAGGCGGCGGCGACCGCCTTGGCGAGCGCGGCATGCTGGCCCACGGCAATCGATACCGCCTTCAACGCGTTCGCAATCTCCTGCGGGATCCCGAGGAGTGAGTGAGTTGAGCGTCATTTGATCAGCCATAGCGCGGAGTGGAGCTGGCGAGTACGTGAGCGTCGCCCCGGGCCTCGGCAGCGGACAGAGCGGCCAGCGCGTTGTCGACCTTGGCCTGGGACAGCGCCAGACGGTCCTCGGCGCTCATACCGCCCTCGGCCGGCCTCGCCCCCTCCAGAATCGTGTTGGTCAGGTCACCCATCTCGGCGAGCGTTGCGTCCAGCTTGGCCAGTGCGGCGGCGTCGCGAGGATTCCTGGCGACCATCTGCGCATCCGACAGCAGGCCCTGCACACAGCAAACAACGATAAAAACGTCAGTAAATTGAATGAAATCAGGTCTGGTGGCCTGATGTGGACCTTCATCTTGTTAGCGAGGTTGGCCAGGGCGGCCTGCAGGCGCTTGCGCGAGTCGTCGTCGAGGTCTCCGTTCAATCGGGCAACAGCCTCAGCGACCGCTTGGCAGGCTGCGCTGGTGGCGTTGGCGTTGCCGGCAGTGGCCGCGGTCCGGACATCGCGCAGGGAATCGTGGACGGCCATGGCGTCGGCCGTTATGGGGTCCATCGCCGCAGCGGCGCTCAAATCCGCCACGCGCGCCGCAGCCTGCTCCACAGCCGCCATCGCCTGCCAGTAGAGGAATGTAAGGAATTAGTGAGTCTTTTTGCCGTTCCGAGTAAGGCCGAGCGACTGGCGTACCGCTTGCAGCCGCTGGAGAGCGGCCTTGTCGCCGGGCTTGGCCACCACCTCCTTGTAGGCGGCGAACAGGTCGCGCAGGGTCTGCGCCAGCCGCTCGGCCGCGCCCTTCAGGCTGGGGTGCTTGTCCGCCGCCAGCATTCCATCAATTCCCTGTCCGCCCAACATTCCATTCATACTGATGAGTCTCTGATGTGGCTGCAAACGGCGCGCGTGCGTGCATGCGGTTCGGGTACCTCCTTGATCAGCGTGCACGCAGCGGTGGCCGTGGCCTTGTCGGCAGTGGCCAGCGACTCGGCGAGAAGGGCCAGACCCGCGTCGACCTTGGCCCGCTCAATGCCCATCTCAGCAGCGCCCAGCAGCGGACCTGTTCGGTGGCGCCAAACAAGCGCGATCAAAACGTTTGGGTGAACATTTCGCAAACGTTTAGAGAATTCGGGAAAAGGCGCACGTACCGGGGAGGCTGTCCTCGCCGTCCTCCTCAAGGGGGATATCGAGATCGAGACCAGCAAACAGGGTCGACGACGATTCCTTGGTGTAGTAGATGATCTCCTCGATCGCAGAGTTGATCTACATCGAATCAATACCAGACATAGAGGTCAAGCCTGTGCGCGCGTGTGTGTCATGTGTGTCGTGTGTATGATGCGCAGGGTCAAACCTGGTCATGGTAGGCATTCCTCTTGTTCAGTTCGGCTTCGCCGGCTTGGCCTTGAATCAAGGCGGCGGTGAGGTGGATCTCCTGCTCGGGTGCCGTGGAAATGACCTACAAAAGGCCAAAAACACACAACGACATGCGTAAGAATGTGACAAGTAAAGCCCAGTCGACAAGAACAAGCCAGATAAAGAGGGAGGCGATCGCATTCCGTACTTCGTTGGGCTTTTCGAGCTTCTTCTTGAGGATGGGGTCGACGATGTAGTTGACGCGAACGGTCACGATCTTGGAGAGGCTCACCGTCTTGAAGATGTACTCCCGCACCACTTCGGGAATGTCAACCACGCTGTCACCACATCATGAATGTAGACGTCTCAGCACTAGCACGCACCACCGCACATGCGTCACCGCACAACATAGCACGCACGCACACACACGGAATTCCTGACATACTTGCGACAGTCCACCAGCTTGTCGTTCCAGTCCTTGGATTCCCTGGCCAGCCGAATGATTTGGCGGATGTCGTACAGATCGGCCGTTTGTAGCAGAAACACCTGGAATTGAGTGTGTGGTTAGTGTGTGTGGTGTGTGTGGTGTGTGTGTGTGTGTGTGGTGTGTGGTGTGTTGTGTGGTGAGCTGCGCGAGAGGTTGTGGACGTACGGTGCGCTGCATGAGGGACTTGGCGGCGAGGAGGAGCGACTTCTTGGCATCCTTGGAGATGGGATTGTCGGCGATGGTCTGAATGTCGCGGTTGATCGCGATCACGCACTGCTGCAGCTCCTTGGTCGAGCTCAGCATCTCCTGCTCCATCTTCTTGTCCAGCTCGCCCCACATCGCTGCCTTCTTCGTAGCTGTCAAAGACGAAGAAGAAGACGAAGAAGTGAGTGCCATGCAACTCAAGAGAGGAAGAGGAGGCGTGTACCGAGGTCCGCGAGGAACTTCATGGCGTGCAGCAGTGCGTCCGTGTTGAGGGATTTGAGCTGCAATACGCAAATAAAGTTAAGAATAAATAAAGGTTAATGAATGGAAAAAAAGGATCATAAGAAATAAATAGAGGGAGGGCCGAGGAAAGAGATTGGAGTGCACTTGAGATGGAGATCGAATGACAGAGGGGGAAAAGCACCTTGGCACCTGTCTCATCTGCTTCGGTGGAGAAGAGCACACACTGTAGAATACAATCGGCGATGGCCTCCAACACTTCGTCTACGGTGGCCTTGCTCGCCTGCATCTCTCGTTCTTTTGTTGTTTGTAGCACAAAGACAAGGCCTTTATTCTAAATTAATTATTTGTCCGCAGAAAACGGTTTTCTCTTTTATCCTTTTTGGGTCAAATTCGCGTTGGGCTGCAGCTGCCGTGGTGGCGTCGGGCGGCGCGTCCAGCTGAGACCGGGCGGGGCCGGTGGGACGTGACTCGCTGTGTAAACGGTGAAGGAGGGTCCTTTGGTGGCGTGCAACGTGATGCGCTTCACCCGGTCCCATGGGATCGACAGGACTTCCGTCACCTGTGCTAGAACTGGGTTCACATTCTCCACGAGCTGCGCGACGCTCATACCCACATTGCCCACTGCGCGAGCAAGATAGGTAAGATACAACCACATAACGGTCGTCATCTTCGACGTCATCATCACAATCGAGGATAGAGGTACCGGCCACGTCAATGTACGGAACTTTGCTCAACTGCACGGTCGCGGTGCGGCTGTGCTCCTCGAGCACGGCTGACAATGGGAGATCATCTGGCAAGACCTTGGGTAGCTTGTTCATCCGACAAATCTGGGGACCCAGGGCTCTTACGACTTGCGGCAGAAGGTGCCGCGGAGCGCGGAGGCTCGAGTACTGGCGCGCTACCGCACAATAATAATGAGAGATTAGGCATGATGCACTCGGGGTGTAGAGAAAAGGCGCAGCTCTGCAGGAAGAGGTGTACAGGACTCGTACCCCACTTCTTGATGGCTTTTCGGTCCCTGTGGAAGGCCTTCAGGTATTCGAGATCGAAGCAGGCGACGCTCAGCTCGGCAGCCTGCGCGCGCACATTGACCTGGTCTTCGGCAAGAATCAAGGCAACCGCGAGCTTGCCCGACGGTGGAGACCTGAGCACAGCCCAGTAAGTCAGCCCTTCAAATCGCTGACGTGAAGCTGGTAGACGACAAGCTGATGCGGTATGTGACTCACCTGATTGCATGCGGCAACACCGCAACGGAGCGATACTTGGGCTCCTTGTCCAGGTCGTAGTACAAGGAGATACAGACCTGTACCGTCTCGGTGAACGAACTGCAGTGCGCACGAACCACATGTTGAGCCAATCTTGACCACCTGAGTAGCGTGTGCTAGTGAAGACTTGATGTGGAGGTCGTCGTACCACCCGCGGCTGTGTGCGTCAGCGAGCAGCTGAGAGGCGGCATCTCTCAGGCCTTGAAGCGCCCGCGTCCGTACGGCGAAGTGGCGCTTCCACGACTTGTGGCGACGAGCCAGCATGCGGGGAGTCCACTCCACACCCGCTAGCTCCCTACGGCACAGCTCTCGCTGGCAAGTGTTGTTTGGGCTTTAGTGAAAGAGAGAAAAGACCACCACACCACCACAGAGGGGCCCCTACCCCTTTCCCCAATTTTGGAGTTGGCCGTCAGGCCAGTGGGAGTGTTGGTGGTGGTGTGTGGTGGTGGGTGAGGAGAGGGGGAGAGGGGGGGGTGAGGAGAGGGGGAGAGGGGGGGGGTGAGGGTAGTACCCAGAGGTGATTGTCGGAGGAGAGGAAGTGCCAGGCGTGGCATACAAGGGCAGCCTGGCACAAGCTGGCCCGGTCCAGCATGCGCCATATGGCCAACTGCAACTGACATGCTCGAACTAGAAGTTGATGTCGTGTACAGAAAAAAGGCTCCCAAGCATGATCGGCCGGCGCGTACCTCATGCGGCAGCGCTTGTACCGGACACTCCAGTTGCATACTGCCTCGCGCCCTCGTCTTGTTGCAAATAAATGAAATAATTATAAAAAAAGAAGGAAAGGAAAGGAATCTTTTCTTGGAAGGCGTGTAGCGAATGGATCAATCAGGGGGTGAAGATGGAGGAGGCAAGAAGAAGGGATTTAGCATCCCCTCCTTTGAGGAAATGCATAGCCAGGGCTCTGCCGCACCACAGCCCACAATTGATTTGTTCGCAGCTTCCCGAACTTCCAATTCCTCGACTTCGATGACATTTGCTTCTTCTCTGGAGCCGGCAGGGTCATCTTCTTCCGAATCTGTAGTCCGCAGTTCTCACTTTTCAACGTCGCTCGCCCCCGTCTCGCCTTCATTCCTCCGCCGTAGTGGATCGGCGACATCTGCATCCTCCTCCTCCACAACGCTCGCCACCAGTACCTCGACATCGGCTTCATCGACAAGCGCAGGCGGTGCGGGCAGTGCCACCACCGCGGTGGCCAAGTCTCGCTCCAGCTTCTCAGCATCTGCGCTGGTCACCAACGATCCATACGCGCTCAGCTCCCCCACCATGCTCAACGCCCTTCTCGCCGCACACCCCTCACCCGCCGCCGGCGCCTCGTCCTCTTCTTCTTCGTCTACACGCGCCGCAGCTCCCTCTCGCGGATTCGGCCCGCCGCCAGCGCCCGCAAGCACGAGCTCGTCGTCTTCTTCTGCCTCGTCCGCCTCGTCCCCGTACCAGGACTTGAATCCCTACAGGTTGTGGACATCTTCACCCCGCCTCCATTTTCTTGTATTACACCTCACTCACTCGGTGCGCAGTGACGGCCGCCGAGGGCCTTCGCGGCCGCTGCTGGTAAGCACGAGACAGCGCGGCAATCGCCTGCTCAAGGTGCGATGCCGACTCAACAACAACAACAACAACTTGAAGAGGTCTTCCCAGTCTGACTTGGTATTGCGTGATGGAACGATAGTATCTGAACAATGTCAGGTGGGAGTACTCTGAAACTGTGCTGCCAGACTATGTGATGGGCGGGCAGGCGTGCGCTCTTTACCTCAGGTTTGCTTACCCCTCTTTGTCTGCTGTTCACATCCGTTATGTCAGCAATCTCACCGATGTGGCCCACCCACCCACCAATGCAGCATCAAGTATCACTTGCTTCATCCGGAGTACATTCTGACGCGAATGCGACAACTGGGAAGCAAGTTCAACCTCTCCATTGTCCTGTGCTTGGTCGACGTCGAGGGAAGCACTCAGCCTCTCGAGGTCGGCCCAGGCTCTCCTCACATTCTCGCCCGTTCGTCTTTTCTGACCTTACTCTGTATGGCGCTGCTGGTCGTGGTGATGATCGCAGGAGCTGATGTTGCTCTGCACCAACATGGGGTTCACGCTGATCTGCGCCTGGAGTCTGGCCGAGGCGGCTCGATACCTCGAAACCTACAAGGCCTACGAGAACAAGGGCGCCAAGATCATCAAGGTACACGTGTGTCTAGTCTACTATGAACCAACGCACGACGGCCGCTCACACACACACACCACACACTCAACGACGACGTCTCAACGCAACAACAGGAGCAAGTGCAGAGCGGCAATCCGTACGCGGTGCTGTCGGATTGTCTGACGGCGGTGCGCGGGGTGAACAAGACCGACGTGCTCACGCTCTCGTCGACCTTTGGCTCACTCAAGAACATCATCGACTGTTCCATGGAGGAGCTGTCGCTGTGCCCCGGCCTCGGCCCGCGCAAGGTGAAGAACCTCTACGAGACCTTCCACGCCCCGTTCGACCCCACCAAGAAGAAGAAACAGAAGACCGAGGCCCAGATCGAGTCCTTCCTCAGCCGCAAGGTGCGCACCAAGAAATCGGTCGGCACCGAGCCGGAGCAGGCCGCACCGACATCGACATCAACTACCGCCGCCGCTTCTGCGAGCAAGGGCAAGGAGAAGGCGGACGACGACGAACTCGGCACAAACGAAGACGAGGCCAACCCATGATAATCAAGGTGAACACCACCAGAACCTAATAAGGTGTTCTGTGGAAAGAGATTGGACGAAACTTTGCTGGTTGGTTATTGGTGTGAAGTGTTCGGAAATTAATTAATGTACTCCATTTTTTTGGCGGTTGGTCAGGTCTGTCAGTCGGTCGGGGGGCCTAGACTTCGCATAGACGCCGCCGGCGGCGGCTTGTCGATCTCGTTCCGCTGTCTGCCAGCCTCGGTCCCTTTCCACTCTCGGCCCAACCAGCAAATGGCGCGGCAGGCGTCGGGCCGGTTCCTCGGAAGGACCCCATGCAGGTCCGCCGCCCAACGCCCCGCTGTGCGCTGCACATATGGTCGCCGATTGGGTCGCAGCTTTGCGCTTCGGCCTGGCTGCCCATTGGGCTGTCCAGTGTGTCAGGGGACATTGTCTTGGGCGCTAATATCACCGATGAATGGTTGGTCACCAACTGCTGAAGGCAAGCCGCTGGCGCGCTCTCGAAAACTCTGCCCATCATCGCCAAAGTGACGCGCCGCTCGGGTATAAAGTCAGTGGTACTCACTCCATTCACTTCACCATCCTGCTCCTCGTTCGCACACAGCACACTACACATACATGAAGATCACCATCTTCCTACTCGCCGCGCTGCTGGCCATGGCCGCAGCGCAGACCCGGTCGCCCTCGCCCACCGGGGCCGCCTCGCCCACTGGAGCCGCCTCGCCCAGCGCCGCAGCGGGCGCCGGCTCGCAATTCGCCAACTGCAACACCCTGCTCCTCAACGGCACCGGAAACTTCGATATCGTCCTGCTTGGAGCCGCCGGCGCATCACCCTCTGTATCGCCCGCGGTCTCTGGCTCGCCCAGCGCCTCCATCAGCGGTTCGCCTGCGGCTTCTGGTTCGCCGGCAGCTTCTGGTTCACCGGCGGGCGGCTCGCCTGCCGCGTCGGTCAGCGGCTCGCCTGCGGCCTCGGGCTCTCCCAGCGCCTCCATCAGCGGTTCGCCTGCGGCTTCTGGTTCGCCCGCTGCTTCAGGATCTCCGGCCATCAGCCCCTCGACCAATCAGCGCCTGCTGGAGATCAACAACGGGCTGCTGGGCGGCCGCGTGGCCGTCAACGGTGACGCTCGCCTCGTCAACTCCATCGTCGGCGGCACACTCAGCTGCCCCACCCCCTCGGGCGCCATCAGCGGATCGCCTGCGGCCTCCGGCTCTCCGGCCGCTTCCGGTTCGCCCGCCGTCTCTGGTTCGCCAGCCGTCTCTGGGTCGCCCGCCGCCTCCGGTTCGCCTGCGCCTCTGGATCGCCCGCAGCTTCTGCTTCGCCCGCCGCTTCCGGTTCGCCTGCTGCACAGCAGCTGAGCCTGCTGGTGAGTGGCAACCTCGAGATCACCAACTCGCAGATCGCCTGCGGCGGACTGGCCGTGGGCGGCAACGTCGTCGGCTCACCCCTGCTGGGTCAGCCCAACGCGGCCAACCTGACCGGCCAGCAGGCCCTCGCCAGCTCGGGCATCGACTTCGCGGCCCTGCGCCAGCGGCTGCTCGCCACCAGCGACGAGCTCTGCTCACTTCCCGCCACGGGCCAGCTTTCGGTCAGCCAGTTCGGAGCCGCCGTGCTCGATGCCAGCGGCGGAGCCAACCAGACCAGCGCCGGTGCCAACGCCAGCAACGTAGCCATCTTCAACCTCCCCTCGGCCTCGCTGGCCAACCTCACGTCGGTCCTCATCAACGGCACCTCCAACGAGACCTTCGTGATCATCAACGTCATCCAGGAGGCCAACCAGACCGGCGAGACTGGTGGCGGCGTCAGCGGTGGCGGCAGCAGCAACCTCACCCTCTCAGCCTTCGGTATCGAGGCCGGCGGCCTGAACGCGTCTCACCTTCTGTGGAACTTCTGCAACGCCACCAACATCCAGATCAACGAAATCCTCCTTCTGGGCTCGCTTCTGGCCCCGCGCGCCAGGATCAACGTCGACCGCGCCGAGGTCGAGGGTGCGCTCATCGCCCAGGCGCTCACGGGCAACTTCTTCAACCACATCCCCCAGCGCTTCCAGGGCAACTTCTGCTCCACTGCCGCCGGCCAGCAGCCCTCCCAGGCCGGCGCCTCTCCTTCTCCCCAGGCCTCGCCTTCGGCCTAGAGCGACGCTCTTCCCCCGAAACGCTTCCCAATCGCACCCAGCAAATAAAACTTGCTTCTATCCCAACGTAAAACAAAATTTGGGAGAATGTTTCGATTTTACGGAACACACACTTGGTGGGCGCCAAACCGAAAAGCATCAACAGGATCCAGATGAGTGCGGAAGCAAGAGGAGAAGTGGAGATGGAGAAGAAGGAGGAACAGCAGGCAGCTGTTGGTGGTGGTGGCGATGCCACAGCGGCGGATGATGCTGGTAAGGCCGATGAGGAGGAGCAAGAGGCGCCCAAGGTGGAGCAACAGGTGACACAAGAAGCATCTCCGCCTCCGCCAGCCGCGCAGATGCAGAGGGAGCAACAACAGCCCGTGGCAGAGGCCAGCAGGGGCGAGGAGGGAGGATGGGGTGGGGGATGGGGCGGCTGGTGGACGGCCACCTCCTCCCTGGTCTCCTCCGTCACCGAAACAGCCTCCAAGGCGGCCAACCAACTCGGTAAGAGGATCTCTCTCCGCCTGTCATCATCCAACATCGATTTTGATCCACGATTAATCAATTTGTTTTATGTTATTTTTTGTGCCACGTCACCACAACACAGCTGATCAGCTGAACGCGGCCCTTCTGGAAGAGGTCGAGGAGGAAGGCGAGAAGAAGGAAGGAGGACAGCAGGAGGGCGGCGACGATCCCAAGAGCAAGGGCAAGGAGAAGGTCACAGACAGTGACGGCGACGATGAAGACCACGATGGCAAAGACAAAGAGGATCAAGGGGTAATCCAAGTGCTCATTCCCCTGCACCACGTGTCCTGGATGCGTGCCGCGCATGATCGACCATCAGCTTGTCGCTACTCACACTTCCTTGTTTTTGGCTGCAGTTCTTTGACTACATCTCGACGGTCCTCCAGCAGCAGGTGGAGGACGCCGAGAAGGTGAAACAAACAACACCTCCACCTTCCCTCCTCCTTTGTCGCTACAATGGAGCTCATCACAAAGCCTCTTCTATAGAAAGCGACGTCGGTGATCGAGTCGACGATGACGTCCCTGAACCAGTTCTCTCTGGAGCAAAGCGTGGAGATGGGGTAAGCCCCAGAAACAACCACTACTTGAACTCATGAATGAGCAAACCCAACTGAGCCCTTCACAAACAAAAATGTGCAAGCAGGCAAAAGTGGACCATGCAGTCGCTGGACGTGCTCGAGGCCGTGGGCAAGAAGGCCATAGAGACCCTCGAACTGGACGAGAAACAGATTCAGCAGTCCATCGAACAGCTTGCTCTGTCGGTACACGGACTCCTCACACAGTGCAGCACATCACACAAGCCCGTGCCCTCAACGTTCGTGCTTTTGCTCCCACAGGAGGATGTGCCGGGCGGTGAAGAGAACGCGGGAAAGAAAGCGAGTACGCCGGCAGCCGCCTCGCCCAAGCCGGTGGTCCGCAACAAGGTGGTCACGTTCGAATCCAACTTCGAGGACTCCTATGGCAAGGCCCACCTTGAGGTAACCTCAGTCGTTCTTTGCTTGGCTTGACTGTTCCGCGTTCGATGCTTATGATTCCATGGCACAGGCGCTGGAGCATCTGAGCGCCAGCTGCCTGATGATTTTCTACAAGGCCAACCCGCAGGCGCTCAAAAAGCTTTCTGGTACCAGCTAGTCCCGACTCATAATTAGTGATTGAGAGCAAAACTAACCACTTGCTGATCCCAGGTGCGCTCAAGAGGATCGAACAACTATTTAACGAAGACGAAGATGAGGACGAGGAAGAAGAGGAGAGGCAGCTGGATGCAAAGCTTCTCCGTAAGCTGGTACTGAAGCCTTCTCGGTACCAGAGAAGAGTAACCCATGAAGAATCTTAATCTGACTGCCGGCCTGTGATGCATCTCACAGAACAGGAAGGCGCGCATGAAGCGAAAGATCATCGAAAAGTTCGTGGCCACGGCCAAGCAGAGCGCGCAGCAGCTGATCGAAGAATTCGCGAAGCAGTTGAGCACGCTCAAGGGTAAGTCGGCTCTTCCCAATCAGTTTCTTCGTGCCGGCTGATGTGGTGCGAGTGAGACTCACCGCTCTCCTGTGAACGCCATCGCGCCAGCAGCCGCGGAAGGTCAGGAGGGAGTGGAGGCCAAGCAGAAGACGCCGGAGGAGATCTCCGCACAGACGCTGGCCCAACTCGACCACACGTACGATTTATTTCCTCTGTTATGTTGAGACCCAAGTTGGCGCTCACTTTGTGTGCGTGGTGTGTGACAGGTCGAAGGTTGCGATGCTTCGTCTGTCCGAGCTGAGCGCGGCCTCGGTGGAGCTGCTCCTGCGTGTGGCCGAGAGCTATCTTGTGGGTGTCACCTCGCCGGTCGCCATCCACAGGGAGGACACTCCAGAGCAACCGGTCGAGGGCAGCGACGAGGGAGAGGACATCGGCGCTGAAGCTCCCGCACAGGAGGAGCCTGCGGAGAACGCGGATGAGGGCGAGGACGGCGGCTTGAGCAGCACGCCCGCCCTGGCTGCCACCTCCCTGGTCAAGGACCTCACGCAGAGTCTCAAGGACGTCACCCAGGCCTTTTTGGCCAGCATCACCGGTATTGCCAAGGCAGGCAAGGGCGCTATGCAAGCTCTTCCTCCTGGGTACGCGCGCCTCTTCTTCAGCTAGATCTAGCCCACGAGACTCACCCTGTGTCGATCGTGGCGTGTGATAGTGAGCATGACATCAACAAGCTGAGCGCGAAGATCGACGCCAAGGTGAAAGCGCTGAAGAAGGAGGTGGAGGCCAAGTTTGGCAACAGTGCCGTGGAGAACGTGCAGGAGACCAAGAAGCTGTTCGTCAACATCAGCAAGGCCGTCCTCGTCAGCGGCTTCCCGGCACAGTCTGCACCCGCTGCCGTTGCCACTGCTTCGTCGCCTTCGCCTTCCTCGCCCAGCACCGAGCGGAAAGCCGCGACTGAAGAGGAAGCTGTGCAGCCAGCGGCAGAGGAGACCACGGTGCAGGAAGAAGAGGAGCCTGCTGCCGAGAAGGAGGTGGTGGAAGAGGCCGAGCAGCCTAGCGGAGAAGAGAAGTCCGACGAGTGATACCAGCCAGACACGTCGATGTTGTGTGCAACCTGTGCACGTCCAACACGTACACGACTTTTGATTTTATTTTTGATTTTAGTGTAGAACGAAAGAAACGATCCACGATGATGATGGTGCCGCCAGCAGACGAGCGGCAGCGACGAATGTTCTATGGCGTGCTAGGCATGCTTATGTTCGTGCTCGTGCTTATGTTTCTCTCGCAAGGCCGTCGGTCAGGACGCAACCATCCCGAAGATCTCGATCTGGCCTTCAAGTACGATGAAAAGGAGAAGACGCTCACCCTCCACCTTTTCAAGTCACCCATTGAAGAAGACAGCGACGACAAGAAGGAGTTCGCCTCACGGCAGCAAGGCGACGATGCAGAATGGGATGAAGGGGCACCGCAGCCATCTCGTCTGGAGAAGAAGAGCGGGAGGAAAGGGTCGCTAGCGAATGGACTCTTCAAGCGCCTTTCATCAAAGAGCCATTTGTAGAGGGAGAGAGCATTCTCCATTCATCTGAAGAGTTGTACATAATTTCGCTTCCATTTACGCGGAAAGATGGGAGTATCGCTTAGGTGAATCGAAAACACCAACGCTCTGGCACTTACCCTCTCCTCACCTTGCCAAGATGGAAGCAGCGGTTGTGGAACTGGAAGTGGCACCTGAAGAGGGACCCACCTTGCTGATCGCGGTGGAGAACAGCGGGTTGGCATCGTCCGATTCGGCCACAACCTCTATCACGGTGCAATGCGACGAAGATGGGAGAGTAGAAGTGGATCTTGAGGTGGATACAACGCGCCTCGAATCCCTCTACGCTCGATTCAAGGCATCAACGTTTCGATTCGATTTCGGCGATGAGGCCAACCTCGCCACGCTCGCCGCTATTCCCCTCGTTCAGGCCCACATGCGATCGAGATCGACCTTCACCGAGCACGAGCTGTTCAGCATCATCTTCAGGTTCAACCGACCCTACCCCTCCGCCCAAGATGAAGAGCAGAGCGTCATCTCTCGACGGCTCGTCGACGCCGAGTTGCTGGAGGTCGCGACGGGCCTCGTCCTTCGCTGTGTCCTGCGGACTCGCTACCACGATGCTCGTGTCATGATGGCGCACGCGTGCGGTGGCGCACACAACGCGCCCGACCTTCGGTTCTTCCTCGCCCACGACCAGGTCTTCATCGTCCTCCCGCGCCAGCCGCAGCAATCACAGCATCACAACACCATAAACATCGACGTCACCCTGGACCAGAGCCCTGAAAGCGGCCGAGCCTCGCTCGAAGTGCGCCTTGGCGAAGAAGAAGACAGCTGTGACGATGACGGCGACGGCTACGATGGTGGTGGTGACGCGGCTGACGGTGCGAATCCGTGGGTGCTGCTGCGCGTCAACGTCAAGCACGTGATCACCGACAAGGCGAGCGTGGTGGCGGCTCTCCGGGCCATCCTGGGCGAAGCCCGCGACCAGCGGCTCACGCTCCTTGTCCTGCGGCAGCGGTTCGAGCGCGACTGCGGCGTGCCCTTCGGCTGCGCGGGCTGCGGATCGCTTACCTCCTTTCTCAAGAAGCAGCGCGCGATCTTCCACGTCACCGAGGCCCGCAAGAAGAAGAATCTCAAGTCCACGGTCACCCTCGTCTCTTCGTCATCTCCAACGCCACAGCCCAACCGGCCTCCACCATTCCGGAATCGAACAGAGTCGAAACCGCGGGACGTGGGAAGAAGCGCAGGTGGTCGTGGACAGGGACGAGGAGCGACATCGCCGGCGACAGGCAGACCAGGTCATCAGCAATCGGACGGGGCAAGAGGGCGTGGCCCAGGGCAAGGCCGAGGCCGAGGGGGACGAGGGGCCAGGGGCAAGCCAGGGGCTTCTTGAAGAGCCAGCGTCGTGCAGATCATCGTCGGCAACGCCGAACGTCATCCGGCGACGGTGTGGTTATGTAATCCTGCAGAAGGCAATCGATTGCACGATCACCTCGGCCTCTCCACCAATCCTCCCCATCTGTGCGGCACAAGGAGCAATAACGGTTTATGGCCAGGACGTCATCGGAGCGGTGCCATTGGTCGAGGGATGTCACGCAACAAGTGGTGATGTTGTTCCTTTAATGTTGCTCATGGTTCTGGCGGTCCGCGTACGGCCTTGTCCCTTGTTGTGCTGAAACACACAGCGCACACTAAGCCCAGCCATGAGCCATAACCACACCCAAGTCGAAGACCTGCAGGTTCCGAACTTGCGAGTTGTAGTTGGGTGTGTGTGCGTGCCTACTCACTCGGATCCATGCATGTTCTACAGGTACATCGCATGGCCCTGCTGGCCAACGCCATTGCGCTCTTGTCCCGAAAGATGTCTGGTGTCGGCCTCACCCCCCCGGAAGTGAGCCTCCTTCAACTCTACCACAGTGAGCTGGATGCAGAACTGGCGCTGTTCCCTTTCAGCTCTCTCCCCAGCATCCCATCGTCATCATCAATCAATTCCACATCGAGCGCCACTCCGCCCCGTACCGAAACATTGGGGCGAACAAAGAGGTACGACAGGTCATGCGAGCAGTGCACCACCAGGTTCACGAGCCAGTGGCGCAAGGGACCCACTGGACCCTCCACGTACCCCTTGGCCCCTTTCAAGAGCTCTTGGTGGTTATGACCTTATATAAGGTGACGTATGCCCTCCCGCAACACAGGTTGTGCAACGCATGCGGCATCCGGTACAGAAGGGGAAGCGAACGAGCCGCCGCGGGAGCACGGCGACGAAGGGCAGTCACCACCACCGACGCCAGCGATTCCTCTTCTCCCAGTCAGCCACCTTCACGCTGCAGCATCCCCTTTCTCCTAAACTTGAACTGACCAGGGCATGACTGGTGAATTATTATCAAACATATTTTGAGCACAGTCAGCTGGTCTGGAGGTCTTTGTTTTCCACCGATGGAGGGCAGGCCGGAGGATGGAGCGAAGGTTGGCGCTCGGGAGGAGAAGGATGAAGAGATGAAGCAGGTCATTAGCAGGCTCGGAGCCAAGTTTGGGCGGCCGCAGAAGGAACTGGATGAGCTGGTGGAGCGCCTCACGCAGAATTGGATCACGCATCTCTCGCATTGGAAGGCCCTGCCGCAAGCCCAGCGAGAGCAGTTCAAGCTCCCACTACTTCTGCTGCACGAATTGGCCCACATCATCGGAGCAGAAGAGGACGCCGAGGCGATGGCGGTGTGTCCGCCGCCTCAGCGCCTTCAACCAAGCGATCGCGAACGGAGAAGGTGGACAAGAAGGGGAAAGACATCGATGTTGAAGCGCCAGTGAAGAGGGCCAAAATGCATGGTACTCCCTCCTGGATTTATGATTAATTCCTCTATTGCAATTTGATTTATGAAGATCTGTTGTTAATCTAATCAATCGTCTGTGCAGCAGCGAGCGAGGCACTGCCGGAGGTCATCCTCAACCCCAAGTATGCACCGGGCGAGGCGTCGATGGCCGAGGTGAAGGCCACCTTCGATAAGACCATCGGCGATCCCTTCCCGCACGCTCTGCTTCGTGACGTCTTCGATGAGCGCTTCCTCGAGGGTCTCAAGGAGGAGGTGATGGAGCTTCACTACCTCCAGAAGTCGAACGACCTCTACGACTTCCTCCAGAGCAATGACCTCAAGGTTTCTACACTCTCTATCCGTCATGACGTTCGGCTTGGCCTGCACCAGTTGCTCATCTCCTCCGTAGGGGTGCACTTTGCCGCACGTCAGCAAGTTGAAGGACCTCCTCTACAGCGCAGACTTCCGCACTTGGCTGCAAGGCATCACGGGCATTGAGGTGCGGCCACCTCTCTTCACAATGACCTCTTCGCCTCAGAGACCCGGCTCAAGGTTAACCTGATGTCTGCTCTCTCTCCAGGAATTGAACGACACGATCGACATGTCGTGCGCGAGGTACATCGACGGCTCCACTCTTCTGTGCCACGACGACGAGCTCGAAGGCAGGCGCATTGCCTACATTCTCTACTTGGTGCCCAAGGACTGGAAGGAGGAGGACGGGTGTGTATGGCGCTTGATGCGCTTCTTCCTCTTTGCTCTCTCTTCTCGAGTGGTGGATCCTGAAGCGCTCTCCTTTCCTTCTCGGCGCTTTTCTCGACCACAGAGGCACGCTGGACCTGTTTGGCGTGGACGAGCACAACGAACCGAACAGTATCGTGGCCTCCTACACTCCCGCCTGGAATTCTCTTTTCTTCTTCGAGGTCAACCCGGTGTCCTACCATCAGGTGCGTCATCGTCGTCATCATCACCGTCGCCCTTCGGCTTTCGTTCTCTTTCTCTTCTAGGGCTTGGCCGCTGACCCCTCCGTGTTGGGGTTTTGTGCTGTTGGCCCACTCTGCAGGTGGCCGAGGTGCTGTCTGCCGACAAGGAGCGACTGTCGATCAGCGGCTGGTTCCACGGCCCGCCGATCACGCGTCCGCCGCACTACCAGGAACCGCCGCTTCCCGAGACCGAGCCCATCCCCACGCAGCAGGTGGTGACGGTCTCCAGTTCATCTTCGGCCGCGTCGGAAGAGGCGCTCGCCGCCCAGCTGCTGGCCGAGTGGCTCGACCCGATTTACCTCGACCCCAAGAACGTGAAGGGCATCGCCGCCGAATTCGAGGAGGAGCAGAGCATCGAGCTGCACAACTTCCTCAACGCCGACAAGTTCGTGCAGCTGGTGGAAGTGCTGCACGACCAGCCGTGGGACATCTACGGACCGGCCAACAAGCGGCACTACCAGATACTGCCTGACGGCAAGGAGGCACGCATCCTTCCCTGGGTAGCCGGTGTGGAGCGTGGAACTCATCTCATTTTTTTCACTCTTCCTTCACAGAACGACATCGTCAAACAGTGCAAGCGCTTCCTCCACTCGCAAGCCTTCTTCGACTACTTGAAGAAACTCACCCAGGCTGATCTCATCAAGTGCAGCAGCCAAAGTACGACCCGCCTGCACACGGAAGACGTTGTTTGTTTTAGAATCCCTTCATTTTCGGCTTCACGTTGTCGTAGTGGCCGTGGAGCTCGCTCTCTGACTCTTCTGCATTCGTCTGTGCCGACAGTCCGTTGCTTCCGGCCAGGCGCCTACACGCTCGTCCACGATCAAGCCACCGAGGAGATGGCGCTCGACGTCACCCTCTGCTGTGCCACCAACAACATTCCCCTGGTACACTTTCTTGCGCGGCGGCTCGGGCTACACCACGTCAGCGCACTCACGCGTTGGTTGCTCACTTTCTTGTGCTTTGTCGTCGCTTGTAGGAGAGCGGTGGCCAATTGATCTACATGGACTCAGACACGGAGCTGCTGACCGTGCCGTGCAACCCCAACTCGCTGGCGCTCACCTTCAGGGATCCCGGCACGATGCGTTTCATCAAGTACATGAACCACCACTGCCACGATATCAGATACGACTTCTCTCTCATCTTCAAGGAGGAGAAGAGCGATGAAGATGATGACGGCAACGCTGAAGCAGATGACAACGCCGCCAACAGCGACGAAGAGGAAGCTGATGAGTGACCACCCTTCACCATCAGAACAATTTCTTTGACCTTTCCTTGCATTTCTTTTTCTCTTCACGGAGATGGAAGGCCCAAAGATGCTGGTGGGCAGTCGCGCGTTGGATGCGCTTGATCACCATGCCCAGGCCATCAAGCAGCGCAAGAGCGCAAAGGCCCCTTCCCAAAACGCGACCACAAATGCCCTCGACTACGGCGTGGGGTGGCTCGTTGGCCCTACCTCTGCGGAAGCCCTGATTAATTGCATAGCCTGCACCGAATTCGCGAACAAGGAGCTTGTGGAGGCTGGTGGCAATGTGGACCTGGTCGCTAATCCACCGAATTGGGAGGAAGAATCGAAATTCGTGGCTTCGGTCCTGCCCCAGGGGCTCTCAGCACGCGGCCTCTACTTCTGCTTCGTGGACGACTCGAACGTTGAGCAGAGGGAAGCACTCCTCAATCGATTCTTCGAGAAGAACGCGCAGGCCCTGCGCTCCATCTTCGCCGCCAACGCCTCTGCTGGCAGCACCTCCATCTTCGTAGCGGCCAAGGCGCTGCACCCGACCGAAGAGCAGCAGGACGAGGCCCACGCCCGCCCCGCCTTCTACCGCCTGGCCCTGGGCCAAGACGCGGCCTCGCCGTCGTTGGAGCAGGTGTCGAACGTGGAGGTGGCCAAAGCCGGCCAGGTGCTGCGCGACTTTGGTCTCTTCCGCACGCGCCTCAGTCTCCCTGTCCGCGCTAGCGACCTCGGTTCGTAGTACTCCCTGATCAACTGCAGAGCAGCCACTGATGGTCGTGAACGCTATCATTCTACTTCTAACCGCACACACCGCACACACCGCACACACCGCACACACCGTACCACTTGAGCAGGCGCTCTGCAGGAGCAGGTGGAGGCGATCGAGGCACAGATCAATGGCGACGGGGCTCACTTTCTGTTCCCGTCCGGCGCTGACAAGGGAGCCGCGCTGGCGCTGCTCAACCGAACTACCAACGCGTCGTTCCCGGCCAAGGAGTTCCAGAGCAAGGCCAAGGCCACTAACAAGGTTTGCGAGGCTCCTGTTATCAGCTTTGGCACCAACGAACGAAGCTGAAGCCGACACAACTGTTTCCCTCTGTCTTCAGGGAGAGGCACCACAGGACAACAGCACAGTGCCGACTGCTGTCGAGGTCAAGCTCTACACGTCGCGGTCCAGCGGTGGCGCCAAGGTCGCGGCACCGGTCTTGAGCTACGCCCCGGCCGGCAGCGGCGGCGCAACGGAAACACAGATTCACTACGATCTGGAGCTGGACGCTCTCGCCTACGTTCCGCTGTCGCAGGTGAACACAGTAGTGCCCAATCCACATGTCAACAGTTACTGTGTGCCTGACCGTACAATCGTATGTTGTGTAGACGACAAAGGTGAGCGAGGTGCTGAACAGCCTGGCCGCCAGCCTGACGGCTCAGCTTCGCCAAGCGGCCGCCTTCATTCGCCAGCTGAGTGCGTCCGCCACACCGAGCACCTTCAACAAGGTGCGATCTAGTATTACTACCGGCGCGCGTGCGTGTGTAAGCGTGGCGTAGCTTAGCTTAGCTGAGCTTGAACTGACCCCAATTACATTCACCAGATGCGGGCCTACCATTTTTGCCCGCTCGACCTCCCACACGTCATCACCCTCATCTACCCGGTGGGCCAGTACGGCTGGGAAGATTATCTGGGTACTGAACGAGAGGCTCGGCCTAGCGTGTATGGTATATATTGGCCAATGGGGCGTGGCTTCTGACTTTCGTCGAAACATCTTTGTCGACGGCGTGCGATCGCACACGACAAACAAACAACGCAGGGTCCTTCCGTCAGCAGCTGCATCGCAAGCTGCTGCTCCCCTTGGATCGTCCGCTGCTCAAGAGCACCAACTCGCTGCTCCTCGACCCCGTGCCGCCGCCAGCAGAAGGCGCCAGCCGTACGCGCGCGTTTCCCGCTCCCCGCACTCGAGAACAATGCTGGTGGACCCCGCACAGTGCTGACGTCACGTTCCCCCCACTGCCAGTGCATTTGCGAGACGTGCACCGAACGCTGGGTCCCTCTGGAGGTACGCTTGCATTCCTTGGTAAGGAGCGGAGTAATGGCCGCGTCACTGACCAGTGCCCGCTGCAGTGGGCGGCCGCGTACATCTGGTGGACGGGTCCTACGAATACTATCACTACTTGCAGGACAATTTTGATGACCGGGTACGTACCTGTTACTTGACCTCAATTATTTTGCTCAATTGGCTTTGAGCTTTCTTTTCGATCGAAGTGGTCAAACACTGACTTCGGTGGAAATATTCCTTGAAAAACAAACAGGGCTGGGGCTGTGCGTACCGGAGCATGCAGACCATCTGCTCCTGGATTCGTATTCAGGGCTACAGCCAGCTTCCAGTTCCCACGCACCGGTACCATCGTCATTCAGCCAACAAAACCGGCCCAGCTTCGAAAAACAACTCACTCCATTCCATGCGCGCCGACAGAGAGATTCAGCGCATGCTGGTCGACATGAAGGACAAGCAGTCGTCGTTCGTGGGGTCGAGGGAATGGATTGGCGCGATCGAGATTCAGATGTGCCTGGACAAGCTCTACGGGGTGCGCATGATGTGGTGGTTCATCATCTCTCCCAGTGCTGCAGCTCACAACACTACTATTTTGGTGCCGTTGCCGCAGCTGTCGTGCAAGATCTTGCGTGTGAGCTCCGGTGCCGAGTTGGCCTACAAGGGCGCCGAGTTGGCGCATCACTTCGACACACAGGGCACTCCTGTCATGATCGGTTTGTCTCCTCACCGCACACGCTCTACCGCACACGCTCTACCGCACACGCTCTACCGCACACGCACACACGCACAATGTGCAGGTGTTTGTGTTCTGGCCTGATCGAGTGGCGTCGCGTTGCAGGTGGTGGCGTGTTGGCGTACACGCTGCTCGGCGTCGACTACAATGAGGACTCGGGCGCCGTCAAGTTCCTCATCCTCGATCCGCACTACACGGGCGCCGACGTGGTCAAGTCCATCACCAAGGACAAGTGGTGCGGCTGGAAGGACGCCTCTCTCTTCCGCAAGGACTCATTCTACAATCTCTGCATGCCCCAGCGGCCCAGGGAAATATAGGCGCACCCCGACACCTCGTCTACAACCTCTCATCGCTCAGGGCTAAGAGCCGAGCCACCGTGCGCTGGGCCCATTGGTCGGTCATTCGTTGTTAGGACCAATTGGACCGGCTCGGGGTGAGCCATTAAGGCTGTGTGCGACCTAAGGTCCGTTTGCAACTTCACATGGTGGTCTGCGCCTATGGGCCATCTGTTGCAAGGGGGCAGCCTTTTTCAGCGCGGCCTCAACCTTTGTTTCTGGTGGTAGAGTGCCAGGAGTGTAACCAGTGCACTTTCTCTCTGCTGGGCCACGTTGCCAGTGCCTGCTGACCATCAATAAATATGGCCCATATGCTCACTCCATTCTTCACTCATCCACCCAACAAGCCACCTACCAGCGCTACCAACCCTCAACCATGAAGCTTCTCTTCTGCTTGGCCGTTTTTGCCGCCTTCATCCTCTCCTGTGCCTCTGCTCGTACACATTCACCACATCTCCAACTGCTATGCACCCAGTACACTAAAACACAATCGCACGACAGAGAGTTGCACGGCGTCGCTCAACCAGACGCGCCAGGCCTCGTGGGTGGACTCTGAGCAGTTCCCGCGCTCCCTGTGGACCGTCGAGATCCGCAACACGGGCCAGCAGGCCGTCACCAACGTGCTCCTCTCCATCCAGGGCTCCATCAACCAGATCTGGGAGGTGGTGCTGGTCAACGACAGCCTCTACCGCCTGCCGGACTGGCGCCTGCAGGTGGGCGGCATCCCGGCGGGCCAGAGCCACGTGTTCGGGTTCATCGTCAACAACAACAGCACGGCGGCGCCCGTGTCGCTGGTGAGCGTCCAGTGCGGCAACGTCACCGTGCCCTCGCCCTGATGACTGCGATGAGCAGTGGCCACGAGCACTCTCTGACCGCACTCGCCAACAAAGCCAATCTAATTCGTTCCTTCAACCAAATGCCATTGCTTCGTACCAATTTGGCTTGCCAAGGTCAGAATTCATTGTATTCGTTTTGTCGCTTGGCCAGACGCGAGTTCCGGATGCCGTAGCCCAGGTAGATGCACAGCCCGAGGGCCAGCCACCCGAACAGACGCCACCAAGTGGCCTGCACCCAACAACACACCCGAACACACACACACACACACACTTGTGAGCCCACAGCACACGGCGATCACCACCCGAAGGTGGGGAAGGTGCGAAGTTATTGGGTGGTACGTACAGCGGTCAGGTTGGCCATGAGGTAGATGTTGCTGAGGATGCCCAGGATGGGGGTCAACGGCACCAACGGGCACTTGAAGGTCTCAGGCACGAACGTCTGCGTACTGTTGGTGTGTAGTAAGGACGCACACGCACATAACACAGGCACCACCGCACGCACACGCACGCACCACCGCACACAACACAAATTATGACAAGCTTCAAAAGTCAGTGCGTTGCTGCGTCGAAGGTGCAAAGGGAAGGCGGGGCCAGCGTACGTTTTGAAGAAGTAGGCGATGGGAAGGACGGCGAGCAGGCCAAAGATGGCGGCGCTGTAGGGGTGGTCCCTGACCAACAGCATGAAGCACACGGCCGAAGTCGTCACCAGGCCCAGCACCATCATCACTACGCCAAGACAAACACAGCACAGCACAGCATAACCGACATACATCGCACACGGCACGCAACGCAACTATCAGAGGCCGGCGCGTGTCAGGGCGGTAAGCGTGGGTGGTGGGGTATACCGGGGGTGATGGAGCCGTTGGGCTGCTGGTAGCGGGTGGTGAGGACGCACGCGCAGACCATGAGCATGGCGAAGAGCGAGCCGATGGAGACCATGTCGGCCAGCACCTCGATCTTGACCAACAGGGTCAGCACCGTCGCCATGGTTCCTAGAAGTCGACGTGGCAACTGTGAGAATTTCTTTTCATTTCGTTTCTTGTTTCGTTTCGTTTCGTTTCGGTTGTGCTGTGCTGCGTACCGGTGACAATGCTGGCCGGAAGGGGCGTGTGGGTCTTGGGGTGGATGTACGAAAAGATGGGCCACATCAGCCCTGCGCGCGATCAGGTCAGCGTGCGTGCGGTGTGTGCGGTGCGTGCGTGCGTGCGTGCGGTGTGTGCGTGGCGTTGTTTCTAGGTACTTACCGTCTCGGGCCATGGTGAAATAAATACGCGGGAGATAGAGAAGGCCGCCGAGGATGGAGGACGTAAGCGCCGCAAAGGCCCCGATCGAGATAATCACTTGCGCCTGCGCGTATGCCAAGAATGTGTGGCGATGAGTTGAATTGCCAGGCAATTGACGTGTACAGACGAGAGCGCGTCGGTAGTTAGGTAGGTACCCAGCCCAGCCCGCGGGCGGCAAACGCGGATGAAAGCGGCGACTCGAGGTCGATTTCGTCGTACTTGACCTGCGACCACGTCAACGACCTCTCAGGCGCGCCCAAGTGGCAATATCGGCTGGCGGGTAGTGGTGCGTACCATGAGGGTGATGACGGCAGCCACGCCGCTGTAGAGGACGCCCGCGATGGCCAGGCAGGCCATGATTCCTGGTATACGAAGAGGAGATGTGAGCAGGCCGAAGAGCTGTGGAAAATAGTACCCGATACATGTATATTTTTAAGTATATAATGATATAGTAATATATATTTTGAAGAAGAACGAACCGATGGGGAGATCACGTTGTGGGTTGTTGCACTCCTCGGCGGCGGCCGAGATGGAATCGAATCCGATGTAAGCGAAGAATATGAGGGCCGACCTGGTCACCACGCCACGCAATTGCCGCACACGCCAGGCATTGATGATTAGATGACGCGAACAGTGAAGAGGACGGGACAAGCTCTGCACAACTCTACCCGGAGAAGATTCCCGAGACGCCGTAAGGCATGAACGGCTCCCAGTTGTCGGGATCGGCATAGAACGCGCCTGTGTGTGCGTGTGCCGTGTGTCGTGTGTGTCGTGCGCGTTGCGTGTGTCGTGTGTGTGAGAGTGTTAGCCGGATCTGATCAGCTCGCTGGAGGCCAGAGGAGGAGTGGTACGCGCGTACCGAGGACGATGATGAAGAGGATGGAGAAGACCGTGGTGCCCACGATCAGCCCGTTGAAGTGAGACGACTCTTGATACCAAAGCAGATGACGACTAACGGCCGATGGTGTGGGTCAGGCCATTATAAAAGCAATAAATATATAAATAAATAAATAAAAGAGGGCTGCGGTACTGGTGAGCACGACGACCGACAGGGCGGCGGTGATGTCGACGTCGCACGGGCCCACTTGCCAGTGGGTGAGGTAGAGCGGGTAGTCGATGCCCACCCCCGTCAGCATACCGCGCACATACCCGCTCCATCCCCTATTTAACACAGGCGCGTGGGCAGAGCGTGAGCAAGAGGCCGTGTGGTGGTGGTGGTTGCATGGCAATAAGCGAAAGAAGTGTTACCGAGCAACGGCAGCTGAGCCAATCATGTACTCCAGCGTGAGATCCCAACCAATGATCCACGCAGGAAACTCGCCCACCGTCGTGTACGCGTACCTAGAAGCACGAACGACACTCACGATCAATGAGACATGCACGACACGACACACACACCACGCACGATCGTGGGGCAGGCGCGTACGTGTAAGCTGACCCAGAGAGGGGTATTCGGGCGGCGAACTCAGCGTAGGAGAAAGCGGAGAAGACGCACACCACACCGGCAAACGCGTAGGAGAGCACGATTGCTTTGTGTTTTGTTTTTTTGGTAGTTAGTTACCACTTCAAGGTGGTCAACCGGTGTGGTGTGTGGTGGGTGATGTACCGGGTCCTGCCTTGAGACTGGCTGCAACGCCGGTCAGCACGAAGATGCCCGCGCCCATCATCCACCCGAGCCTAAGTACCATGTTCCGGCCCGCGTCAGAATTCGAATTAAAAAGAAAATAAAATGCAAAATAAATACGACGGGTGCCAAGTGACGGAGAGAGATGATGAGGATGAGGATTATGATGAAAGATGAAGTGGAGATGGGCGCGGGATACCCGAAGAGGACGAGTTCGTAGAGGTTGAGGCACTTTTTGAGGGACTTGCCGTCGTCGTCGCGGTCGGCCAGCGCCTCCTCGACGCTCTTGGTGCGGAACATGGTGCGGCCCACGCGGCGCCAAAGGCCACTGCCCGGCCAGGCGTCGCCCGACCCACCCAACGGCGCCATCTGTTTATACGCCGGCCCGCCCGCACTCATCTTCTTCCTCTTCTTCCGCCGGTGGTCAACTAAAATAAACAATAAATAAATATAAGAATAAACGAGAATGATTTCCTGAATTCTCATTTTCCATATTTTTGTTATTTTTAATATAAATACTTTTTACATCTTATTATTTTTTGTGGCTTTTTGATCGTCCGAAGAAGCTTCTTCTCAGATGTCGATGAGCTTGGTGAGCTTGGTGCCCATCTCCTTGACCGACCGCGGGCTGGTGGGGAGGAAGGAGGACGTGACCGGCAGGAAGCCGCCGCTCTTGTTGCCCTTCTGCCGGATGCGCTCGCGCTCGCGCTCCCACTCCTCCTCCTTGGCGGCCGACCGCTTGCCCTTCTTGCCCTTCTTGTCGGCCTTGCGCGACGACGATGATGAGGTCACGGACGACGACGACTCCCGCAGCGAGCTGGCCGCCAGCGAGCCTCGTCGTCCGCCGCCGCGCCGCGATGACGCGCCGTCGTCGTCGTAGTCGCTGCCGCCCTCGCGGTCCGTGCTGTCGGAGAAGTCGTCGGTGTGGTCGTCGTCGGAGCCGCGCACGCTGCCGCGGCTGGTGACCCGCTTGGGGGCCTTCTTGTCCCGCTTCTTGTCGCGCTTACGGTCCTCGTGCTGCGATCGCTCGCGCTCCTTCTGCTTCTGCTTCTCCATGAGCATGCGCTCCTTCTTCTCGTTCTTCTTCATCTTGGAGTACTGTCGCTCGAGCTGGTCGCAGCCGTCTTCGATCGTCTGCGCTCACACGCACACGTTCACGCCAACACAGATCAGACGACAAAACGTTGTGTCTTGTGTGTCGTGTGTGTCGTGTGTGTCGTGTGTGTCGTGTGTGTCGTGTGTGTCGTGTGTGTCGTGTGTGTCGTGTGTGTCGTGTGTGTCGTGTGTGTCACAGCCGCACGCAACGCGTACGAATTTCTGGAGCGGTTTGTCCTTGCGGTCCATGCCCTGGCGCTCCTCCAACTTCTCCAGCTTGTGGATGATGGTGTCAAAGTTCATTCGCGCATCGGGATCGGTCAATCGACACCGGATGATGAGGTGGTTGAGCATGAACGTGGAGAAGCCGCACGCGTTGGTCATCTCCATCACTATCCAGCCGTAGGCCCAGAAGTCACCGCTGTAGCTGTAGTTGCCCTTGTTCAGCATCTGTTGCCAGGCCTTGTTAGCGTCACACCATCGCACACATCATCGCACGCACGCACGCACGCACGCACGCACACACGCACACACATGCGCGCACACGCCGCACATGGCGGCGTTGCTTACCTCGGGAGGCAGATAGGCCTTGAGATAGGATTGGTTCGTGTTCTCCGGGAGGGGTACTTGCTCGGGCTGCTTGTACAGATCGAAATCGGAGATGATCAGGCGCCACTTGTTGTCTCCGTCGCTAAGACGTTTGGCCTGCCGCAAGCAACCAATCAATCAGCCAAGTACGTCAGTCAGTGCGTGTGCGGTGGGTGTGTGCGGTGGGTGTGTGCGGTGGGTGTGAGTGCGTGCGTACCAGGATGTTGCTGACTTTGAGGTTGCGGTGGATGAGGCGATTGTGGTGGAGGTACTGCATGGCCTTGGCGATCTGCAGGGCGTACTCGAGCGTGTCGAGATAGGTGAGGCCGTAGTTGCGGAAGATGTCCATGAGCCCGCACTCGCAGCGCTTCATCACCATGCCTGCGTAGGGCCATACGCAGAGTTGCGTTTTTTGTTTTAGTCACCACACAACACGACACGCACGGCGCATGTGACCGCACACGACGCGCGCGAGCGGTGCGTACCGAGTCGGTGATCGGGGGTGTGGATGTAGCCCTTGTACTTGATGAACCCCTTCTGCTTGCCGATCTTCTTGACGATCTCCGACTCGCGCGTCGACCCCGCGAACGGCTTGTTGAACAGCTTGACCGCCACCTTGACGCCGTAGTTGTTCTCCTGATCCTCCAACCCGAGCTTGGACACCACGAACAGCGACGCCTCGTGCACTCTGCGCACCAAGTCAAAGCCGTGCGTGAGGCGCGTGTGCGTTGCTGAAATATTGTTGGGCCAGCGTACTTGGAATTCCTGCCCTCGCCGAGCAGCTTGTCGTAGAGTAGCAGGGTGCCGACCTTGATCTTGAGTGCGTCGAACGAGTCGACCTGGAAGGGCTTCGACATGCCGTCGTCGATCATCGCCACGAAGCCCGGCATCCCTGCGTCGCGCATCGACTGCGTCATACGACCCATCAGTCGTGAATCATCACAGCCTCGAAGGGGAAGAGAGAAGAGAGAAGAAGATTGCGCACTTCGTAGTCGTCCCGCTTGAGCAACAGATCGCCGGCCTTTCGTATGGCGATGGCGACGAAGATGGGGAGGACCTCGTTGGCGAAGACCAGAGTCTCGCTGTGGAGCACGTCGAACACGTAGTAGGAGAGGATGTCGAAGACGAACACGCGGATGGCGATGAGCCCGACCCACAGCACGCACCCGCCGAAGTAGCAGTACTTGGCCGTCGTCGATGCCGACCGCGTCAACCGCCCAAATCGATTCCTAGCAACACACATGACACACCGCACACACCGCACACCGCACGCACCGCACACACCCTATGTAAATGGAACGAAAGGTAGAACGGCAAAGCGGCGTATATGATCGTACCGATAGGAGACGAAGATGAAGACGCACACGATGACCAGGACCATGTTGAGCAGCGAGAAAATGACGGCGTAGAACTTGTCGACCGCACTCGACGCCTGATCCCGCACGGCGTAGTTGACCTGGAGCCACACGACGAAGAAGAAGCCGAGGTACCCCAGCACGATGAAGCCCATCTGCCATATCCGGTAGACCTGACGCTTGATCTTGTTCAACCTGTCGACGACGTAGCATTGATGATGATGGATCAGATCAACCCATGCGATTCTAACGCACTTGCGCGCGGGACAGTACCAGTGGAGGACGAGTAGAATGGAGATGGTGTAGGAGAGCAGGACGGGAATGTAGCGGTTCAGCACATACTTGGCGCCCAGGTCCTTGTGGTAGGTCAACACGATGCGCACTGTGCGTGTAGAGCAGCAAACGTCAAGCTAGTGCGTACGGTGGTGCGTGTGCAGTTGTGCGGTGGTGCGTGTGCGTGTGCGTGTGCGTGACCGGAGGTGGCGCGTACCGACGGCCTGAGCGATGACGCACAGGTAGAAGGTGAGGAGAGCGGCCTTTTTCCAGGGCTTGAGGATCTTCTTGCGGGCCAGGTTGCTGTACAGCTCGAGGCCCAGGATCTCCAGCACCATGAGGCCGTAGAAGATGAAGTTCAGCACCCGGAACGTGATGTGCGCCTTGAACCAGACATACGGCACGTCCACGATGGGGTCCAACACACTGTGAAGCCAAATAAAGAAGTATTCTATTTAAATACATAAAATCGTTTATTTAAAAAACCTAATCCTAAATCTTAATGGAAGATAAACCATATTTGAATTTGTGCCTAAATGCGACCAAAAAACAAGGGGTACGACTCTCCCATGTCGAGACCACCATCATCAGAAGACATGGCCGAAGCAGGTTATGTAAGGAACTCAACTCGAGTTGGTCCTCGCCGTCTGCCAAACAGCAGTTCGCTTCCTCTCTCCTTCGATTTTCAGGATCGATTGCACTTGCGCAACAGTAACGGACAAGAAGTGCTTCTGCTTTCTTTTTTTCCGCGGACAAAAGAAATCACTCCGAAAAGAAAACCTCCGTGAAAATGAGTCGAGAAAACAAACTTTATTCAGTTCTCCGCCACCACCTACGTACACCTCTTCTTCCTTCTTCTTTCACCCACGGATGTGCCCGCTCACCACCTACTCCAAACAACCAGCCGATCGCACGACCGAACGTTGTTGGCGCCAACTGCTAGGCGCTGTCGTCGTCGTCGCTCTCGTCGCGTGGGTAGCTGTAGTACGAGGAGCCCATGTCGTGACCGGGAATGGCGACGGCGGAGAACTCTCGTCGCAGCACCAGCTCCTCGGCCAGTGTCTTCCTCGGACCCTCGCGTCCCTCCACCGCTACACGACGCACACGCAAACACGACACACACGACACACACGACACACACACACACACACACACACACGAGCAAACAACTGTAAGTGCGTGGTCTGGAAGGAAGGCAAGGAATGGATGGATGAAGAAGAAACAATAACGTACCTTGAAGCTGCGATTTTATGGTGCCGATGCACTCGTTGATGGTGAATTCGATGTCACAGTGGTTCTTGATGATGGACAAGTGCTTCCACGTCTCCAGTTCGCCCTCCCTGATGGCCGCAGCGACTCTCGCCGACGTGGGGTTGGAGAGGAGGCCCTGGAAGCTCTTGAGCTGCAGGCTCAGGGGCTTGATGGTGATGTCGCCCTCGTACTTCTGCGTGAAGATCGACAGCACAGACGATATCGGACCCGGCAGGCCCACCGCGGCCACATTCTGGGCGTAGTGCTTCAGCTCCGCCTTGGTGAAGTGGATCAGCTTGGTGAGCGGGTTGAGCTCCCAACCTGCCAGGAACCGGCGACATGCCGCCAAGAGAGGTGAGCTACCACCACGGACGCGACACACACACAACACACACACACAACACACGTTTGAGAACGGTACCGATGGTAGAAAAGGGGATGACGTGAGGGTTGACTTGCGACACGATGAAATGGTTGACGTTGAACATCTCGGCGAGCTTGACCATCGGGAGGTCCAACTCCAGCGAACCGTCCTGCCAGGTGAGACCCTCGGGGTAGTAGGTCACGATATTACCTGCACCCCCCCCAAGCGGCCGCGCACCATTACATTAGACTGCAGCACTCGAGGTGCAGGCTGACAGAGGCGCGGCGGAGGGTTACTGTACCGCTCTTGTCCTTGGCCATGAGCGCGACCGATTCGAACACGAAGGGAATGGCGCACGAGGCCAGGCAGGCGGACCACATGAGTACGTGCGGGGCGGTGAGGTAGTTGAGCAGCGTGGGGTACTCGTTCTTCGAGGCGGGGGTGACGCTGATGTTGACGATGCGCCCGGTGCGCTGGTAGGCCTCCAGGAAGGTGATGTCGCCGAGGTTGGCCTGCAGGGTGTGCTTGAGCACGTTGATGTCGAGCAGAGTGCCCTGGGTGAAGAATCGCTTGGTCCTGCGCGCGAAGGAGCTCGACATGAAGCCCTGCTTCGACTCAGCCTCTTTCTTCTCGAAGAAGTTAAGATTCAGGTAACCCTCTACGAAAAGAACAGAACAACGAACATCAGCATTGATCACTGGTGCGTGTGCGGTGGTGTGTGTGTGTGTGTGTGTGGTGTGTGCGTGTGTGTGTGGTGTGTGCGTGTGTGGTGTGTGCGTGTGTGCGTGTGTGCGTGTGTGCGTGTGTGGTTCAAGTACCAACAAAAATGTTAGGCATTTCTTCGTCGGTGACGGAACCCACCACGGCGGCTACGATGGAGCCGGCCGAGGAGCCCGAGATGACGCGGGGCAGAAGGCCGTTGGTGTGCAGGGCCTTCACCACGCCCAAGTGGTACATGCCGAGCGTAATGCCGCCCGAGAGCAAGAGCGCCGAACGCCCGAGCGAGTGGCGCATCTCCAGGAAGAAGCGCAGCTTCCGCTTCAGTATCATCTCCTCGGTCGAGTCCTCCTGTTGCGGTGACGAATTTGAGCGGTCAGATGGTGGTCGTCAGCCGAGCGAGAACCCGAGTCAAAGACAGCCGTCCCACTAGAGAGGCGGTAGGTGCGCACCCCTCGCAGTTCGGCGGGCGAGTACGGGACAAGGGGCGTATATAACACGAAACGCAGCGACTTACAGACCTGGTTCGAAAACGAGCAGTGTGTGAAGAAATGTGTCATGTGCATGACGTGAGTGCCGTGTCGTGGTTCAAGCGATTCATGACTCGTACCTGGTCAATGTATTCCTCGACCACATACTTGGTGCCGACGTGCGAGCGGGAGAACAGGTCGGCATGCCCAACGCCGCCTTGCCTCTGTGTGCGTGTGTACAGAAAGCCGGCCAAAGTAAGCCAACCAACATTGACGTGTGGGCGCGCGAATGGCCTCGTCGTCGATGTACATGTCTACGTACGCGAAGCAGGCCCTTCCGCAGGTGCCACATGAGACCCTCGGCATCGTTGGTCTGCATGAGGTGGTTGAACAGCTCGGTCTTCTGCTCGATCAGCTCGTGGTCAAAGTAGGGCGACTGCTTTTCGGTCTTCCACTTCTCGTTGCCGACCACCTCGTCGAGCTCCTTGGCCAACTTGGCCCACTCGGCATAGGCGGGGGCTTTCTTCATCTCTCGCCTCAGGGAATGCTGGCGCGAGCCTGGTGCACAATCTCTAATTAGTGCGCGCCGCCATCACACCACACGCCGCACGCACGCACGCGCAACACACGGCGCACGACACACATCGAGCAGAGGGCCGCGCACCTAGTTCGTAGTAGATGAAGTGCAGAATGCTGTATAGTTTGGCGATGATGGCGGCGAAGACCTGGAGGGAGGCCACCAGCAGGAGCCTCTTCACGAGCAGCTTCGGGGCAAATATGATCCTCAGTGCGCTCAGGCCGGTCGACAGCATGGCCAGGGCCATCTTCATCAACTGTGCACAATTTCGCACGCGCGCACACCACCGCCATCACACCACACGCCGCACGCGCACAATTTAGAGGCTGATCGTGGGGGGAAAACTGCGGTCGCAAGCACCTTCTTGCGGAGGGCGTGAAAGGCCGTGAGGCGAGAGGAGATGTCCACGGGCAGGCCCTCGACGGGGAATCCCATGGTGATCCCCACGCATCGCATCCAGGCCATGTCGGGCGCGTTCTTCGCCATCATCGTGTTCCACCAGCTGAGTTGAGCGCACGCACAAATACGAGTAAGAGGAGGAGGAAGAAGAAGAAGAGGAGGAAGAGCTTTGCACGCGTGTGCAAGGGGAGGAAGGGGCGTGTGCCTTTGTATGAAGGCGATGAAGGCGAGAAGAAAGGAGGTTGGCAGGAGTCGCCGCCACGTCGGCACTCCGCTTCGGTGCGCGCCCAAACTGGATCCGAACCCGGCCGCCATGCTTGCCGTCGTTGTCGTTGTCATGCCACACGAAGCCATCTATTTTTTTTCTTTTTTTCTGCTCAAGATGACGCAAAATCGAAAATCAAAATGGAATCTCGCCCCCTCCTAAATTTGAAGGAAGTTCACCGTTGCGTTGGGAGGCGTACCAAACGGACGAAATTTGTACAAATCGCAGGAGGGGGAGCTTGGCGGCAGCTTTTCTACACCCGTTGTATTTTCCAGATACAGCCGCAGCTCCTCTTCTTCAATTTACTCGAGTCGTTGTCTTGTGCTTGGTGCTCAAATCTGTTTGCACCTACGGCTGCCTAACTCCTGTGGTACCTCACCTTTCTTTTCT